CAACGAAAGTTGTTAATATAAGCATCGCGGCTCGCGATATGAGAAAACAAAAAAAGACAATTTCGTTAATTCTTCTTTCTCGACGGCGGCGTTGCCTTAGCCCTTAGCCTCCTGAGGAAAAGTCTTCCTGGAAGTCATGTAGGACTTTTTTTCATTAGTGCAATTTTTATGAGAGAAAACTGCAAGCTTCTTGCCCAAAATTTATTAATTGTGAAAAATTATATCTCTCAATACATTTATTCAATTAATCATCTCGCTTTCACATGAAAATCGTAGAGGATACGGGCACAGTATCTTTGATACGATCGTACGTAGGTATAGCGTGAATTTTCCCTGTCAATCAGAAATAATCCAGTGAGATTCTCATCGACAACAGAAGGTCGTCGTAATCGGAAACGGAAGTAACCGCGAGGGCTGTGGGCTTTCGCGATTTGCATAAATGTCATTTGTCACAGAGATAGCTGTTTCCTGAGTTGAAACTGGTCCTTGAACATGTTTCCTGATCGAGACTTTCGTTCGTTCGCATCATCGGCCCGAGATCAACGGGCTCAAGACCTTCGAGCGGAAATACAGAAATAGGCTTCGTGTTGTTTCGGAACCTTTCTAACAATCTCTCGATCGCAATACATGAACATTTTCTACGAGACTTATATTTGTTGAGAGCAAAATTTCAAAATCGGAAAGTCGCATATAGACTCTGATTTTATTTGCTCAAAGAAATCGATTCGAGATTCGTGAGAGTTTTTACTGACATTTCTCTTTTTTACCGGAAGCGTCGAGCGTTTGTGTAACATTATTTTATATGTCATATACGTATATAAGTATAATAGATTGTGTCGGCGTTTATCGTAAAACACCGATTTATATCGTTACTCAACAACGCGATCAGGTTTAATATCCGCGACAGACTGACGTCTGCAAATTAAATCATTAATCACGCCGCGAACGGAAAAATAAGTGAGGATTAATCTACCGGATCGATCTACGTTATATGAACTTATAGACACTACGGTGTCCATAAATTATGGACGCTATCGGATATCGACGCGATGACGCGAAAATGATCCATCCACGAATTATCTTTACGCGCGTTATACGATCTTATAATATTATTCAGTAATACAGAAATTCGAGGAGATAACCGTGAGAAAATTATTTTCTATTACCATCCATTACTGATTCGCTTTGAAAGACTATGGGTTAAATTTATTATTTAATTAAAAATCTGTGAGCTGTTTCTTTGCTTTTCAAAAATACTACCATGCTTCTCGACTTCCTTCTTTTTTTGTATCTTCAAGAGTGTCGTAAGACGCATTGAATTGCCAAATATATATTACGGTAATAAATATTAATTTTAGCTCTTGAAATAACAATAACAAATTCCACACGTGCGTTAATCACTCGCGATCTACACACGCGAATATAATTTCCGCGCAGATATCATTTTGGAGTATTACACCAGGTTGATAAATAAGACAATGTATCGTTGATAGAGCGAGATGAAAACACGCGACGATTATACACCGCGGATGTATTTTGCAATTTCCGTCTCGTCTATTTCCCCGTACTCCCGGAGGCACGACGTATAAGAGAGATTTTCAGGTCAGTTAAAAGAAAGAGAGGGAGAGAGAGAGAGATCTCCTTGGATCGGAAATTGATTTTGAAGGTCTCGACGGTATAATTCTCGGTGGTCGAAAGGGATCTAAGCCTATAAAGGCGTATATCAAGGAAATCCGTACAAAAAGAATGTAGATGCCAATTAAGCAAGAAAATCTAATCCACGAATGCGACGCGTTGGACTAATCAAATGGACAATTTAATGAGTAAAGACAAATGAGAGCAAACGCCGATGGTATTATAAAATAAAGATCTGTACTTTGAACATAATTTCATAATTTGGGTGCTCAGGTAGACCTGATAAATAATGCGATTTTTTTTAGGAACTCAACATTACGCGGAAATTGTTGCAAAAACAAAAAAAATTACAACAATCAACGCGTTATTCACAATTAACGCGGATAAAACTACCTGCGTTAATTGTGAATAACGCGTTGATTTTGTTGTATTTTTTTTTGTTTTTGGCGTTAGATGGCCACACGCATACAAAATATATAACCAGTGCAAACGCGCCGGGAGATTATGAAACGATATAACAATATGTCGATATAATCGTTTTTATTATATCGACATATTGTTATATCGTTTGATAATCTTGGCGCGTTTGCACTGGTTATATATTTTGTATGCGTGTGGCCGTTCTTAAACGAGTTTGCTCCGAAGATTGTGAACGGGTGTAACGCACAATATCCGAATGTTTGAATAAAGAGATTATTATTGCAAATGGCTTTGGCAGTTGTCCAATCCAATGGCGCAACAGTCCGAGTCGGACCTAGGTTTCCCCCACAGTCATATGCTTGTGGTACGCACGCAAGTTGTACACAAGCACATGGGACCTACAGTTTAATGCCGAATCTAAACGGCAAAGTACAGGGGGTTTCGAGGCAAGGGATACTCCCGACGGGCTGCCATTCCGTCGAGGAGGAGAGACAAGCGATACAATTTTATTTATTTTGGTTCTACCAGGACTGGATTCAAACCTGATGAGATCTTTGGTTTAGCAGACCAGTGCGCTGTCTGCTACGCCACGCTCGCTCTCACGTGATTAATATAATATTTCTTATTAGAAATTTTACTTATCGGCCAGTGTCATCAATATGTCATGTTTTTAAAATATTTTTGATTTGCAGGCTGAACTACAAAATAGCCACCATAATGATGAACATCAGACAGAATTACAGATTCTTCGCTCTCAATTATTAGAAATGACTAGGTCCGACTCGGACTGTTGCGCCATTGAAATGGAAAAAAAAAAAATTAAAAATGTTTAAAACATAATGCCCCAAATTTTTCGAGTTTATTTAGGTTAATTAAAATAAATTGAAAAATAATATTTTGCAATACATTGGTTTGACAAGAAATATAAACCATATCGTGGCAATTAAAATATTTCTTGTCAAACCAATGTATTGCAAAATATTATTTTTCAATTTCTTTTAATTAGCTTTTATGAAAGAGGGCTGAAAGAGGGCGATCGGCTCAAGAGTCAAGGAGAAAGGGAGGGAGAAAATGCAAGGATAAAATGCGTTTTCGCAGGCATTTTCACGGGTCAGGGACGCATACGCGAGTGCTAATCGCGACTGCTCCTATTGTCGTTAACGTTTACTTTTTATATCGCGAGCGCAGGACTTTGCAATCGCTAAGGAGGCCATGCCTCCCGCCGCGAATGGATGTAAACGTTACCGTGATTAAACTTAAACGGCTGAGAGCCGATCGTAATCGGCTGGACGCCTGCCGTAGCAATCGTGCGATCGCGTAAAGATAATGAACTGTTGAAAAAAAAGAGCCTTAAAGCAATCATCAATTGCCAGCGGCAGCCGTTGCTCCTCAATACGACTTTCCTTCCTGTTAGGTTTCTTCGCTGATAAGAGTTGCCTGTCGTCACGATTGTTACTTCTTTCTCATCTTCTGAGGTTTCTTATGGAATTCGATGCCTATACCGTTAAATATTAAAAAGGATAAAATTTAAACCCATATCTTAAGTTAAATAAAATTTTGTTATTTTTAACTGCCACGTGTGTGTAAAAATTTATTATTTTAATATAAAACAGTATTATTTTAACTTCAATGGTTTAGTAAAATTAACATTGTTTTAGTTTATTAACGACATATATAATAACATATTGAGTAAGAGCAGGGGCTACCAACAGAAATGGTTAAAAAAGACTCAAATTGAATATAATTTGGCATTACGAATTTAACGGTGTATGCGACGGCCTAGCTCGTTTTCTTAAAAATCGAAAACACACATTAACTTAGATTTATACATTCCAACGATTTTCTCTTAAGTCAATCTTTATCTCAAGAGAGATCTTTTCAAATCATCTCTCATCTTCTCTTTTGCTGTGCGATCTCTGAGGTTTTCTCGAATATGTTTTCACTCCGAACCGAATATCTGCATCTCCGAGAGTCGAAACCAAACGTATCCGTCATTCACTCGCGACCGCGTATTTCCCTGGAAAGCTGTGTTAATGCGCGAGCACGAACCGAGCTTTATTTATTGCCGAGTTGCGAATCAGAATTAGCTTATCACTCATCGACAATAGGATCCGGATGGTGACGGCGCGGCGCAGAAAAAAAGCAATATCTATCGCTGGAAAACCCTATAACGGGATATCGGCGAGCCTCGCACAGATCGCAATCTGAAAACCGCAAGCTCGAGGATGAAACTGCATCTTTCGTTTAGCCCTCTGGCTGCATTGAGTCATTTCTCTGCGCATCCGATAGTTCTCTTCGCGATATAATCATTATATTTTTTTTCCACGACAAGAAAACCCCCATTGTCATCGGAATTAATCATTCGTTTTTAATTTACAGCTCAACATTATACGCATATTATTATGAGTATAACTTTCTATGTGTCGCCGAACTGGAATAATTTTTATTATTTATGATAAAAAATTTATTTAATTTTAATTTGCGCCATATGAGTATATTATTATTATTATTTGATTGTACGATTTATTTTTTGAAATTCAGTTCATATCCGTCGTTTATTTTTATGCGCGTACCTTGCAAAGATAATACTTCCTTATTAAAAATAAAAATATAAGTTTATTTTTAATTTTATTCGTAAATCCAGATCAATTTGCATTTCCATTCAAGAACATCCGTTGGAGTACCCGAACAATCCTACTCTCATAAAATCGATACAAATCGATTCTGACTGCAAAATAAGATTAATTCGGAGAATTTAATTTAGGAATATCCTTGCTCGTTCCTCGCGAGGGTATCCAGAGGGAGATCTCAGGGACCGTCCTGGAAGGGCGTTTCGCGAAACCGCGTCGCACGTTTCGAGAGAGCCGGCGGCCGGCGGCCGCCTTTGCCGCGCCGGTATAAATGCGAAGGCGCGGACGAAAATCATCTCAGTGTCGAGCGCGAAAAAAGCCGGGGCGGTGTGCTGCTGCCTCGATCTACTTACCGTTTCTCAATCGCGCAACACACGCGGGCAGTCGCCCATGTGCACGCGTGCAACCGGCGCCAGCGGGAAAAACCCGTGAGGAGGAGACTCCCACGACAGATATTTCCCAGCGACGTTTCGGAAAGGAAATTCGCAAACCGATCCGGAAACCATCGCTGACACTTGAACTTCCGGATTTTATTTTTCCCTCTTTTCCCGCACCCTCCCACGTCATCGTCGTCATCCCCGCGAGCGATCACGGATCAGTCCAGTCTCCAGTCTGCAATTGTTGTCGGACTCTCTTTGCCGATTTCTCCTTCGCTCGCGTCCTCCCTAATTTATGATCCGCGTCCACGACATAAACGGTCGCGATTGTCGCGGACGAGTAAGTCCTGATGTTTCTCGGGATGACTTGAAAGCGAGGGAAAGAGAGAGATAGAGAGATTCTGTCACCGTCGATATCCGTGCCGATATGGAAGAGGAACGGCGCGAAGATTGTGCAAGATATTAGAGAGGAATATCCTTGTCATTGCTGATCCGAGAGAGTTGCTGATAATTGCAAGGTACTTACATCTCGTGATTTATCTTTCGATCGTGATGCTTGAATTAATTGCTATTCGTTAAATTATTCATCTTAATTAAATTAAATTGAATTAATCGAATGCTTTTTGTGAGACGTTTATGCGAAATTAATTTTCTATCCAGTTAAACCGATAATTATTGCACGTTCTATGTACAATTTAATTAAGATAGTTAGAATCAATCATCCTGACGTGGGGGATGCGAAACTTGTTTATTCTTTTACGACATTTTTCGTTATTCCTACGTCCAATTGTTACGTAAAATATTAATATAGTATTTATTTATTTATTTATTTACTTATTTATTTATTTATTTATTTTTAATACGTTGAAGCCAATATATTGCGCTCGAAAAATTACTCGCAGAGAAACCTGCTCGCGAGATCGCGCGTATTGCCAATTCGCTCTCGTGCCGTTCGCCAAAATAGCAGCCGGAGCACGTAAACAAATCTCGTATTAATACACTTCGTGACGCGCATATTGTCGGTCACGAAAATCGTCATCGCGATTCGGAAATTGCAGCGCGTCCCGATACTCCTCGATTCGGCTTCGCGCAAAAATCTCTTTTTTTTTTCAGCTTTAATAATTACAAGGTGACCGTGCTCGTGCCGCAACGGTGTGTCGATCGGATTGCGCCTGTCACCCGCGATCACCGTGAATACGATACGACATACTTACGATCCAAATCCCAACTTTAAACGGATTTAAAAAAAAATACAGAAAAAGATACATGCCGTATCACTCAAAATTTTTCGAGCGGGACGTGACGGGCCATCGTTTCGCTTTTTTAATCGAAATCACGAACTGCATCCGCTCGCAATTGACTCAAGTATCGCAGATCCTTTTGACAGATGGACATCGTCCGAAATATTTTTGTGCAAATGCGTTATTGCACGTTGATGGCAACGTGCATTTTTCTCGCGGCACGCGAACCGGAAACCGAGACGTGGGGTAATGTTAATTTGTAATTTTCGGAATGATTCATTCGTGATTCATTCCCCTTCATTATGTGATTGTTTTCGAATGCAACTTTATCGGCAGCTTACAAGCTTACAAATCTTGGAATAAAAATTAAAATTAAGATAATTAGAGCCAATGTATTGTAAGTCTGATTGAAAAGAGATAAATTTATTTTACGTCTCACAACTGTACGATATCAATCAAACTTGTGTGGGATGCAAAATTTATTAATTTTTATATATTTTTGTATTAAAAAAATTATACGTGTGTGTGTGTATTTTTTGTACAATGAAAATGACGTCAATAGGAGCGCATGATAGCTTGTTGAGCATTAATAGGCAGGAAGGGCGAGTACCATCCAAGGCCCTTAATCCGCTCATAATCGTCTAATAAGGATCTCACGGCGGCTGGGATGCGTCTTTCATAGCGCATAAAACGCATGAGAATCTGCACGGCTGACATTTGCAAACAGATTTATAACGTTGTTAATCCTCGTCGATCTTATCGAATAAACTGCAGGCGTCGAAGCGGCGTGGCATGATGAATAGACGCGCGATGGTGACGATAAGTCTTGAACTGTAATCCACAAGTGCCGCGTTAATGGGTTAAATTGCGTTAAAACGTGCGAAACTGATTGAGGATCTAGCGGCGATAACAGGCTCGTGAGTCACGAGCCCTTGCTGCTGGTTTCTTAAGCGTTTCGAGTGGTCGAACGATCGCTTAATCGCGCGATCATTATTCAATTATTAGTGCGCCGCGCGAAATCGCGCGCGGTGCGATAAACACAGTAAACGTGTTTAAGAAGTTAAATTCCGTTAAAAATCCTTCTGTCACGCGATCTACTCTGATTGGTTTTTATCGATGCGCAGATTAAAAAAAAAACACACACAGATTGAATTTAAAAAGTATTTATCTCGCATCGATCATCTCTCCGCGAACGTTAATAAAACAGCGATGAAGTGCGAATGAATAATGCAAGAGCTGATCGCGCAGATCATAACGCGGACGTTATCGATTGGCGTGGAATCAATTAATCCGAGAAACGCACATCTGTGGAAATATCTCTTCGATTTTTTTTCTCTATTAACAACAGCGAATTCTCTTTGTAGATATTAATGCTTGTACAATGTGATCGGGCGAGTTAACACTTCTCATCGCGGATCAAAGTTACGCGAGTTCGTTTAGATCGAGGTCCCCAAGTTGGGCGCTCGAGGAATTTTCTGCACGAGTGCGATCGCGTGTTATTATTGTAGTATCATTATTCTCAACGATCGGCACGAATCTCGCGCCGGAAGCGGGATTCGCCGAACGGCTCATCGAACTTTTTCTTTTAGAGTCGAAAAAGAGACGTGCAACGAGAGCCGATCATAGGTATACGAAGTCAATTAAACATTAGACCATCCTATAAATAATGCGATATAAAAAGGAGCTTGATTTATTCTTTAGCTCAAAACGGAAAGACTTTTATCGCCAGGAAATTACAAATTTAACATGAAGATGGGAAGAAGTTGTAAATAACAACACTAATTTGTAGTGTCAAATTATATACTCATTTTAATCATTCTTAGGTCGCCAGTGTTCCTACTCAGTCGTTAATTTAACTAAACCAGTAAAGTTAAAATAATAATAAGATAAAATGTTTTGTGTTAATAATAATATATTTCGACACATATATGATAGTTAAAAATAACAAAATGTTATTCAACTCAAGGTATTAATTTAAATTTTATCCTTTAATATCTAACAATGTGGAAATTTATTTTGGATTAAAATAAAAATATCAAATTTTTTTGTTTTATTTCAAAAATATCTCTAAAAGAACCGCATTACTTATAGGATGACTCAATAATATATTCCAGACATTATTACGTCGAATCTAATCCAATCAATGTAATGTTTAAAGGGCTCTAGTCGCACGTCGTACTTTAGACTGTAATTATCTATCGAATGATAACGAAACTATTTATTTAATAATGACATCCTGTTAATGCACCTCGTCATTCTTTTTAGTCGCCTGGTCACGCTCTGAGGTGCACGATGATCACGCAGATGAAGCTTTGGTGGAAGATCCTTCGCTCCGGCGACAAGAATGGTGTAAGTCACTTAATCCCGCGTTACGATTACGCGTTGCGATTAGCAGCACCGTAATTAAACACGTCCGCGAACGGTGCCGCATTCTTCGACGATACCGATATTACCAATTCCGAAACGTGGATGCTCCACGTTTGCGCGACGCGTTGCGTAACTTATTCGGTAAGTACTTGGTCGTCTCGCGAAGTAAAGCGAAATGTCAAACGGCACGAGAAGATGATCCCTATTGAGATACTTATTTATTCGAGTGTATACGGAACAAAGGCGAGATGCAACCTTTTGCCAAGATTCCTTCTCGCGGAAAATATCGATGTAACACGAAAGGCACAAAATGACTACTTTATGAAGCCGGAACGAAGAAACGCGGATACATTAATAAGTAATAAAAATATGATAATAAGTAAGTAAGAATAGGTAATTGGTGTAGAGGATACATTTATTTCCTGCCTCTGATCAATTCTCGGCTCGAAACGTTGCAATCGTCGCTAGAATAACTATCGCGAGCATCACGCACGCAGAAAGAAGCTTTGTTAAACGAGGCCGTCGAAGGGGAGACGATCGTTTATAAATAAATAAATGGATAAACCGGCGGCGAAGGTGGCAGATCGGCCTTCTCAGTCATCGTCCTTCGACGCCGCGGAATTTTTGAAGCTAGCGTGCGTAACACTTCGTTCGTTGTAACATTCCGCATCCTTTCGCTCGATTTTCCGTCTAACAGCGTCAACGTAGGCGTCTAACAGCGTCTAACAGCGTCAACTATAAACAATTCTTAACCACCAATTTGCATATATTCATTATTTTATTTATCCGTTGAGTTTTTATTTATTTCTCGAGCAAACCCTCGTGATTGCATCAAACTCTAAACGTGTGCTCTACTGGTATTCGTGTATCTGCAAGACCGAGGGACGGAATTATTCTTTAGCTATTCGGAGCTCTTTAGCTATTTGTCTAAGTCCCGTGCTTATTGTTAAGCTCGGAAGCGAATTTCCATACGAAATCCGACGCCGATGTGGGTCTCATAGCCCCGAGCGCACGCGATCCTTGACGGAACCTTCGGCTAGCTTACAAACCTCTTTCTCGCGATCCGAATGATAATGCCTAACGACGGAGACACATTGTTACGAATGATCTACTCGACGCAGGTGAATCTTTCGTCTCGGTGAAATAACGCGTAAGAGCGTATCCGTTTTTCGGCTATTTTTCGAATGTGAAATGATAACGCACGCCGGACGCGTTATCGCATCGCTGTTCGACGCTATCACTGCCGTAACTTTTGCGTCGAACTTGCGGAAGATACTCGCGAATCGCTTGACACACGTGCCAATTCATATCTATCGAAACAAAGAGAAAGAGAGAGAAAGATATCTGGACGACGCTTTAATACCGTTTCTTTACGCCAATAGAAGGAATTAGGGTTGAATCATCATTAATAATAATTGTATCCGCGGTAAATATTTCACGAAACAATCCGACGTTTGCAGATCCTCGCAGGCTTAGTTGCGCACTCCGGCCAGATTTCCGTGGGTCTTTCCCAGGGATACAGCGCGATCCTGATACCGAAGCTCCTGGAGACGAACTTCGCGGACCAGTCGCAGGCTTCTTGGATCGCCTCCCTCGGTGTCGTCTCGAATCCTATCGGTGCCCTCGCCGCCGGGATCTGCGCCGAATGCCTCGGCCGCAGGTTCGCGATCGCCCTGGCCACGCTGCCGCACGTCGTCGGCTGGTTGCTGATCGCGTTATCGAGGAGCGTGCCGATGCTGTACGCCGGCAGATTCGTCAGCGGCCTCGGCACCGGCATGGCCAACGGACTCTATCTCTATGTCAGCGAGGTACGCGGAAACGCACGTACAATACTCTACGATTTCATTAATGAAGTGTATAATTAAATTAACGACATATCGAATAGAAGCAGTGGCGACCTACAAGAATGATCAAACGTGACCTAAATTAAATATAATTTGACACTACGAATTTAACAGAGTATTTCTGATTTTCTTTCAGACGGCAGCGCCAGATCAAAGAGCGTGGCTCGCAAGTTGTGGACCAGTTCTGGTTTCCCTGGGTGTCTTAATGGTCTACACCCTGGGTGCCATCACGACGTGGCAAAGGGCGGCCGCTATCAGCATCGGACCCGCGATTCTGTCGCTCGCGTTGACACGGTAATCGCTTCCTCGACATATCCATTTTTTTCGGCAATTGTAAAGTAAAAAGTCACGAAAGTTCGTACGTTTCAAATTCTATTCTACATATTTCGGCTGACAATCTATCGACAAAATTTATAGTAGATAGTGAAAATATATTCTTGACAGATTTGGCTATCCGGCTATAATTCTTCAATATAGCTGAATGAAATGGTCTGTTTCTGCAGGATGCTACCGGAAACTCCCGCCTGGCTGGCCTCGAGGGGTCGAACGAACGAAGCGAAAGAGGCTCTTCTGTGGCTGCGAGGTCCCGGACTAAACGTCGACGAAGAATACCGGGAACTCTGCGAGACGAACGCGAAGCGGAAGGAGAAGAAGGAGAGTCTCCTACGAGCGCTGCACAAGCCCAACGTGTGGAAACCGTTCCTGATACTCCTCGCCTTCTTCGCACTCCAGCAACTGTCCGGCATCTACGTTATCCTGTTTTACACCGTGAACGTGCTCAAAGATATCGGCATTGACGTGAATGAATACGCGGCCAGCGTCGGCATGGGTGTCATCAGGCTGTTCGCGTCGATCTTCGGCGCCGGTCTGGCCAACAGCTTCGGCAGGAAGATCCTGGCATTCGCCAGCGGCTCCGGGATGGCCGCCGCCGCCGTGGGAGTGGCCCTTTCCTTCAGGTTCGCTTCAACCCCTTCAATCCTTTCAAATTTTATATTTTATAATATACGAAGAACGATGAATATAAGCAAATTAATTTTTTATCTGCACTTTCGTACTTTTAATTTGGATATCTTTCTGGAATTCTTCGTTTCTTCTTATTTTTCAAGGTTCTAGTGATCCTTAGAAATAATATGACTTTCTATATCCCTAGGTTCAAATTGCCATCGTGGGTGCCACTATTTTGCATCGGGACTCACGTGGGCGCGTCCATGATCGGCTTTCTCACGTTGCCGTGGGTCATGACCTCGGAATTGTACCCGCTAAGGTTCAGGGGCAGCCTGGGAGGTCTCACGACCAGCATCGTGCAGATATTGACGTTCGCCGCGATCAAGACTTATCCGGACCTGAACGCTGTCGTAGGTCTGGAGTTCACGATGTGGATATTTGGCGCGGCCGGCGTGCTAGGCGCGATCTTCGCCCTGGCGATATTGCCGGAGACCCGGGGACGCAGCCTCGACGATATCGAGATGAAGTTCTCCAGCAAGCCGAGCGACAGCTTGACGTACACCCCCAAGATCTTTCCCAGAAAGAACATCATTCTCCAGCGATTCACTTCAATCTCGGAGGAGAAACAGTCGAATATCGCGGCGAATGCGTACGTCTATGACAATTTCTGCCTGGAGCTGTCCCCGGAGAAACTGGAAAAGGATCTCAAAGTTCCTGAGAAGGAATCGACTCGTGATCAACGAATCATAACCAGCATCGCGTTCGAACACGTGTGCGTTTAGCGCGAGAAATTCGGAAAAACTTTTATCAGAAACAATTCCTACGCGAAATTATATGGTTTTAGATTACATTTAAGATATTTATTTATTTTATACAATTAATAAGCTGAGAAATATGTTGTTCAGTGTGATTGTAATTGATACAGATACCGTTTTTGTATCTATCGTCGCCAAATGTTCCTTCAGTATTACGAACATTCCTAGGAGCGTGGTATCGAAAATTAAACTTATGTAATATTTTTATAATGATTACGCATAATTGTACATACATACTTCCTGAAATTTTATATAACTTTTATATAAGTAACTTTAAGTAATTTTATGTAATTTTTTGACATTTATACAGAAACTTAAATATTTTTCCTGTATAAATTTTCTCAGTGCTGTTTTTTTATTTCTAAAAACATATTTTTTACACAGATTGAAACTGTGTGTACATCTTAACAAGTTGTAAATATTAATTAAATATAAAATTTATTGTATAGTATAATATTAATTACGTGTATTTGCATAAAATGACAAGAGCCATCAATTTTCACTCTTCCTGTAAATATTCATCTTTCTTTCACCCCCCGATAAAACGTTCGCTGAAAGTGATATAAAAGCTTGGCAGTTTTGACTTTGTATTTAAATATAATTTATGTTAAATGTGAATCAATCTGTATTTAAATAAAATTAGAGAACTGCGAAATTATACTGGTGTGTAAATCCGAGTAGAGAAGATTTTCGAGGCTAAAATGGATTATTGAACCGCGCAGAGTGGTCGACTCGTAGTCAGCAGATCTCTGATTTAGTGATTTAATTCTGATTATCATCCTGCATACGCCCCGATTTTAGAGGCTGATTGGAGAGTTTGAAGGTTTGCGGATAAAAGAAAATATGAGAGGTGAATTGTAATCCATTTCAGGAACAATAAACTCTTTCAATACAACACAATATGTGAAAATAAAACGCAATGACGTATATTGATTATAAATGTTCGTGATACAGATACATGATATCGGTAAGAACCCCTTAAAATATCATATCCATGTAATATGACATTACATTTTGCAAAATCGTATGCGGGGATGGAGTATAGAAAAAATACTTTTCTCGATCGTAATATGTACATATTACAGTGATGTGGAGTTTCACGCGTCCAAGAGATAATAACACGCACGACGTTTCCAGTTCTTCCCGCATTTATGTTTTTTTCTTTTTTATAAAACACAGTCGCAAGTACAAAATCATGTACAAATCGGAGATCTCAATTTCCCAGTATCAACAATTTCATTAGACGCGCAATTATTAGCCGCGCAAGCGATGATTGGAGTTAATATGTACAATAAAACTACAATGTCCTCTCATCGATGAATTACACGATATAATATCGATCACATTTAGCATTCAAGATCGTCAGTATGTGTATACCGTCGCTTAAAAAGGATCACGCTTACAATCTATTAAATGCAAAAATTGTGGGGAGACATTTTTAAGTACAAAAATAATGAGACAATTGCCGCGCTGAATATTCTCCTTAACATCTTGATCGATTACATTACACGTATGATGCTTATATTTTCTTGAGAATTATGCCGTTTGAGGATTCATCATTTCACTTTCAATAAAGTTAAAATTACATAAAAATCGCAACTTCTTGGAAAATCATGTATTTCAATAATTTTCCATGATTTTCAAGAAAATGTGGTCACCAATACCATAATTTTCAAGAAACTACAATCATGATTTATATAGATCTGCCGTAACGATCAGAAATGTTAACGGAGAGCATAAAAAGCATGTAAAACATTTAAAAATAAAATGCTCCGACGTATCCCGATTCAATTCCTCGATCGACCGTTACATATCTTACATTTACAAACTCTACTTTCTGATTCGACATACAATTACAGTCAGGCAGTTTAGGCTTTACTACAAATCTTTAAGAAAATAGCTAGATACTCGTTTCTCTTCCTCGTCGCGCTGCCCTGTTGCACAGAGTCCTCGAGAGGGGTTAAATTCGGTTCCCTTCGATATATTTACAACATTGGGACATTGATAATTACATTCATACTTTCGGCATTTTTCCTTTACAAGTCATAATCCTACACTTTCTTGTGTGGCAAACCAAGTCGTAAAATCACTGCGAATGCGCGAATTTTAATACCCGAGCAACTGATGAAAGCGTGAGGAAAAAATATATAAAATCCGTGTAAACATAGATAAAATATGATTGGCGTTAGCGCAGAGATCGTCCGTCGAAATTTTCAACTGAGACTGCCGCTAAGAATGGAAGACGTCCGGCTAACTAATGAGAAATGATCTAGTTTATTAAATGCAATCAATTGAGCATTGTCTACAAATTTTCGTGTCGATATATATATCGATTTAGATATCAATGCAAATATATATATATATATATATATATATATATATATTTGCATTGATATCTAAATTCCTACCATAAGAACGAATTGTGCCTTTCTTTATTATTACATCTACTCGACTACAAAACTGATAATACTCCGCTGTTTTACTGTTAAATCCATCATGGTTAGAGATTTACAATTGCATTCAAGACTTATTTAACGCAACTATTATTACTTCGTTATTATTATTATTATTATTATTCTCTGTGGTCCATATTCAAGACTCGCGTTAATCAATCGTGAGAGAATTATACGTGTTATATTAACCGACGTGGTTGATTTAGAAAATTATGCAGGCAAACATATCGAAACGTAGGAGGTATATATGTGCGTTAATTATCATATTTAGAAGTTATAGGCTATGAGAGATGTGGAAACTGCACAAATGTGTGCGGAAAAACTATGTTTCGTTCTCAGCTATGTGTGTTTTAGAGATATATATCTATATATAAGATATTTAAGAGAAGAGAAAAATATAGATATCGTGTAATCGACACTTTGCTAGAATTAACAATAAATTAATTTGAATACGTAAATAATGTTCAAGAGGAATATCCCATACAGCACAAAAAGTTGAAACAACGTTGCTGAGACATTGCAATGTTGAATGTTGAAGTATAAATATCTTTCTAACGTTGAATCTACGTTGATTCTTTTACAGTGATTCTTTATGTTGCTACAACATTCAACAAATTGTTTATCTTTTGAAATTCGAATAAAGACACGTTCTGCTAAGTGCGGCAATGTTATCCACTACTTAACAATGTTTTCTAAATGTTGAATTACGTCTACACGACATTGCAATTCAGCTGATATTACACGTTTCCGCAATGTCTTTTCAGCATTAAATCTATAAAAAAAAACGTTGCAATGCAATATTTTTGAGATGTTGATTCAACGGTTGTGTGCTGCATGGGAGTTCAGCGCTAATGGCAAAATTTTGTACTCGTCCTAAATAAAAACGTGTATTTCGATAGTATTTGACCGAACTGTCGTCTCAAAACACGCCATTACAACATAAATGGCAGAGGGAAAACAATTGACATTAACGCATTAATCGTCAATCATACACGGATATTCCGTAACGCGATTGATACCGAATAGTATATGCACCTGAACATCCTTGAAACGTTATGTACACATTCGTTCTAATTGACAAATTTTAAAACAAAATTACAACACTTGATTTTTATGAATGTCGTGTCTCGAGATGCAAGACAATGTTGCACCTCGCGCATGTATAATTACATGAACAGAAAGCTGAATGACTTTGAATACTGTACAGCTTGATCCTAAGTATACCTAAGTCTATCGGCTATTATTAAGTAACTCTGGTTAACATACGTACGTACATCCGTATCCCTCTTGGCAGTCGGTTAGTTGCTCTATCGAGTTTTCGATAGCACAGACATCGGTATTGTCACAATTGCTACTTATGAGGCTAGTCACCACGGGAGATCCACCTATTCCAGCAATCTCGCCCGGCTCGTCGGAATTAGAAGCTAATTACGCTAGAATGGAAAAGAGCCAGCCGCTCGTCCAGATCAGTCTAGCAGCATTGATGTTGCCGCGTCTCGAGCCAACGTTCATTCTCGCTCGGAACATCTGACGATCCGAGCGTGCCAACGCTCGCTGTCAGTAAAACTCCGAGTCGGAGCTGTGCTGCGAGTCCACACCGTTCAGATATACTTCCAACGTGTGCTGAATAGCCGGCGAGTATTGTGCGGTTTCTCCATTTTGACCTGACGGTTTGAACATCGCGGTTTTACATTGTGTATAAGCATACAGTTTTTAAAACATGGATAATGGGTAATGAATAAAAAGAAATATTACCTTGTGCGGCAAGAATAGTAGCTAAACACTTGGCCACCGCCGGATTTGGGGCACACGCTAATGCGGGCGTGAGTCCTTCGGCGTCAACAGCTATGACACTCGCGCCCAATTGCAATAGTCGTCGCGTGATCTAGGCAAAATAACATTTTTCATTTCTCATCTCAGAAAATGTCATCTGTCATACTTGTATCGTTAAACATAATCTCAACTTACTGTCACGAGACCGTTTCTCGCCGCCAGATGCAGCGGCGTTCTCTGCTGCTTGTTAATCATGTTAATGACGGAAACACGTTGCGATTGCGATGTGTTCTTGTCGCCGGTATCGGAGTTGCCGAGCGACTCGATCCAATTCAAGAGCAATGACGCCGCTGCGGAATGACGTCTTTGACAAGCTAGATGCAGCGCCGTATTCTTATTGGAGTCAACAGCGCGCACGTCGGCTTTCCATTCGAGCAGTAATTCTGTTGACCAAATGCGTCTCATTAATACGAGAATATCACGTAAGTGTGTAACTTCATTACAGGGGGATCAATAGTTACCAATAGCGTTGCATTGTCCGTTGACGGCCGCACAAAGAAGCGGCGTCCGTCCGAAATAGTCGGTTGTCTCGAGACCGGCTAGTTCCGGTCCAACGGAGTTTAGAATTAATCGCGCGCACTCGACGGATCCCGCACTCGCCGCGACATGCAGTGGCAATAAACCACACGACGAATCCCTCGGAGCAGCAACCGCCTGTCCGCCGAACTTGTTGATCAGTAACTCTAGGCAGTGCGCGGATCCCTGATATACGGCGCAATGTACGGCAGAAAAAGGATTACCTGGAAATAATAATAATAATAATAATAAAAAAATCAGCTTGACACACGTAACGCATTGTTGGATAATCATCTTTGAAGTGTAAGAAACTACATGCCTTCCAAAGAATCGAACACGTCATGATTCAAAAGATACTCCACGCAATTCGAGTTGCCGTTGTAACAAGCCCAATGGAGCACCGTGCAGCCTTGATCGTCCTTCAAAGTCGCCGCGGTCGGATCGGCTTTAACGAGGGCGGCTAAAGCATACAATCTACAAACAGACTCGCGATGTAGAACAGCTCTATACTACGGCAAAAAATTCTGTACGAACGTAACTTCTTACCTGCCACAAGCAGCTGCTAAATGTAACGGCGTTTTACCGTTTACATCTTGCACTGCCACTTGGGCACCATGCTTTAACAACAGTTTCACCAACTGATTATCACACTCGTTGATCACCGCGCGAAACAGCGGCGTGTGCTTATTGACGTCCGGCAAATTGCAGTCGGCTTTGTACGTCAGCAGCAGCATCGCGCACTCCTGATAGTTGTTCGCCACCGCCAGCGTCAGAGCCGTGCGTTGCTTGGAGTCGTAGCAATTTACCACGTTGGGATCGTCCATGTTCTGCAGAAGAAGAGCCAGGCAATCCGCGTAACCGGTCGCGGCAGCACAGTGCACGGGCGTGCGTTTCGTGACGGAATCCTGGAAACACGGTGACGTTAGTGCTGCGTGTATAAACGTACGCTTACCAAGCGGGAAATCCAGATTCTTCTTACCTGCACTGCCACGGAAGCGCCAAATCGCAGCAGAAGCACGATACATTGTTTATGCCCCTTGTAGGCAGCCAGATCTAGCGGCGTCTTCCCGCTGTCTTCCTTGATATTTGTATTGGGGAACAAAGGTAGAAGCAGTTGCAAGATCTCATCGTGACCGTGATATGCCTGAGATAACACGTTTTACGAGTTAGGAATATATGGCTTCGCATTTCATTGATATCGAATAATTTTAAATTTGCATGGCCATTGTATTTACCGCGAGGTGTATCGGAGTGAGCGCTGGCAGGGGCGGCTCCTGCCCGGTCGAAGAGCTGAGCGAAGCGGCCAGATTCGAAGGTTGCGACGACGCATTCAGAAGCGCTTCCAGTGCCTTTTTATTGCCACCCGCCACCGCGTAGTGGATCGCGGTGAAACCGCGTTTGTCGCGTAAATGCGGGTCTGCCCGGTGCTGCAGCAAGTATTGCACGCACTTAAAAGACCTGCGCAAAATTAAAATAAATTATATAAACAAATAAATGCGAAAAATTGGTCCGCTAAAGAAAGACTGATACTGACTCGGCATTAGAATTCGACGCCGCTGCAGCCAGATGTAACGGTGTTGCACCGTTCACGTCCTGAGCGTTTGAATCGCTACCGAACCCAACCAAAGTGAAGACGCAAGGATAGTGTCCTTGACACGCGGCATGATGAAGAGCCAATCGATTGTCATTGTCAACAAGACGAAAATTGGCACCGCTAGATAACAGCAGATCCAAACAATCTACGGACCCCTATTTAGAATGATCACATTACGATTAATATATTTATATTATTAGATTTAAAAAATATATTAAGAATGCTATATAAGATTAGAGTTAAGCGACACGCTACCTTAAATGCTGCCAAATGTAAAGCTGTTCTGCCACCGATATCTCGCGCGTCAATTCGCCTGCTATCGAGTTGCAATAATTTTCTACAGACCTGTGGATAAAAATAAATCGGACATTAAATCGTCGCAATGTAAACAGTAAACTGAGTATAAATATTGAAAAAATATGTGGCTCACTTCTATGTGTCCCGCTAGACAACTCAGATGCAAAGGTGTACGTTGCTGTGCGTTGCGTGTAGCCGGAGACGCAGCGCTTTCCAATAGAGATGTCGTCAAACATTCGAAGCCAAACCTGTAATTTGAAGTTTATTTTTACCATCTTATTCAACAGGTGATGTTTACAAAGAACAGATTTATAATTCTGTAGATAATTTACCAAGCGGCGATATGCAACGCGGTATTTCCATTTTTGTCTCTCGCATCTGGAAAAGCTCCTGCATCCAGCAACGTTTTTGATCTCGTAAATCTCCCGTGGATCGCAGTCATATGTAACGGTGTACGGCCGTCTTCCGATTGAACGTTGACTTTCAATCCATTGTATATCAACATTTTAAAACAGTGAACACCATGCAGGCTGGCGGCAGCGACGTGCAACGCGGTCTGCCCACGATAATTCACGGCCTCTGTTTTGATCGACAGATATAACGTTTATTCAAATGTCGTGAATCCTAGTACCGAATCCTGATAATAACTCACCTAAATTAACACGATTGGCTACAAGTTCTTTGATTACGAGGGGACATCCGTTCAAACACGCGATATGCAGTGGTGTATTTCCGTACACGTTCTTGGCCTCGATATCGGCGCCAGCTTCGATTAAAATGTGCACACATTCTACATTACCAGACGCGGCTGCTGCATGCAATGGAGTATATAAATCTCGATCCTTAACACAGAAATACACAAAGTAATTACATATACAGTACAACTAAGATACACCTAAAAGCGTTCTACCGAAAGTTTAATAAAAAAATTAGTACCTTAACGTCCACGTCGGCACCTTTGTCTATTAACGCTTTCAGAATCTCATTGTGGCCTTTGTACGCCGCGAAATGCAAAGCCCTTCGGTCTTTCTTGTCGGAGGCGTTTATCACGGAACCAAACATCATAAGGTATTGACACGTTTGGACATGCCCGTTATACACCGCATGATGAAGACACGTTTTTCCGCCTCTGTAGAAATTAATAATTTAACAATAATCTATGTATTCAATGTGCGTTTATATTAAGAATTTATAAATCTGTGATTTTTCCCATTGTACAGTCATCGTGAGATTACCGAAATAATGATACAATACAAAAAGTATGTACAAACCTGTCTGTGACATTGATATTTAACACATGTGGTATTAAAAGTTCTATGCATTGCGATGCGTTATTTGCTGCTGCTACGTGAAGAGGTGTCTGCCAACTGCGATCTCGGGCGTTCACGTCCGCTTTGTATTTCAACAAAATGTCCACTACGTTGTGATTGCCCGAGCAGCAGGCTCGGTGCAAGGGAGTCAACCATTTCTTATCTTTGCTATTCGGTGCTGCACCGTTTAACAAGAGAAGTTCTACAATAACTGTGTCCCCCCTGAAACGTGAATACCAGAAATATTTTAACTGAGTAATCGAAGTGACTTTCATTAAGTTTCCAGCATTTTATTAACTCAGATATTGACCTATATGCCGCAGCATGTAAGAGGGAACGCTGCTCCTTGTCTTGCCAGTTAACATCTTCCTTTTGTGATAGCAACGTACGAACTGCCTCCACATTTCCGTGAAATATAGCTTGTAACAGAGGAGGCTGTGAAAATAAAACAGTTACAAGGTTATTTCCCTTTCTCTTGACTAAATTTATACATTAAAGACACTTGTCAATTGCACAAAAAAAAATAAATAGCACAATATATCGTCATACAGGTCGTACACACGGTAGTGGTCTTACCGTGGTCATACATAATCAAAATACAAGCAAGACTCACTAAGAACCTTCATGCATTCTTCAAAACAAAGAAACTTGATTTTAAAAAATTCCCAAGACAGAATGTACAATGACAATCTGCATTTAGGCTTGACAGGAGAAAGGGGGAAGCTGCAGAGACGTACGGAGAACATCCACGCCAGATGAAAACACAAATTTGACACGAACGAGCTAACCTGCGCCTCGTAAATAGACGCGATAGCTCGAAGGAGCAGAGGACGCGACGTACCTCTTCGTGAAGATCCTTGAAGACGTTCATGTTGGCGAGCGCGGCGCGAGGGATCTCCGCGTTCCGGGCGGTCGTTCCTCCTCACGGGAGCATTGTCACCCGATCACGAACGGGTGAGTCATCGGGCACAAGACCCGTCCTCTCGAACACCGCCGTCGCCGCCGCTGCGGTCGCCGACTGGGTGAGCGCGATCCGGTCGGGCCCGGGCGCGCGTGTCACGCGTCCAGTTCGCGTCTCGCTTCGCGGCCGGGTCGTCTGAACGGCGAGCGCACCGTCGGGCTCGTCGCAGCTCGCTGCTCGCCACGTCCCACCGTCGCGGTCGTGGGTATTCACGCGCACGTGGCCGCTCCGTCCGACGCGCTCCTCGTTTCCGTCGCCATCTTCGACGTCGTCGTGCGCGAGCTTGTAAACAACGGACGCGCCGCCTCGAGGATCGCGCCAGATCGCGCGGCTTCGGGAGGAGAGAAGTGGAGAGAAGGGAGATTTTTCTCGAGGAGCGGATATGGTTATAGAGAAACCGGAATACAAAGGAATTGTATGAGAGAATAGACGAGAAATATGTGAGAAAAGTGGAGATAAGGAAAGTAGTTGCGGCACTTTAATTGTGTTTACCTGAAACCGCAATTGACTGATTAGCATTTTTTTTAAATTGTTTTTTTTTCCGTTTTTTCTCACAGTAGTTCTAAGAAAAGGTTAAACAACAAAAAGTTAATAATTTTATCCACAAAATTAACAAAATACTGCAAGTATTATAATTTGACAAATTAAACGGAGATAAGATATTATTAGATAAAAACTAAATAATTTATTTGTTAACGTGGTAAATTTATAGGTCTTTTGTTGTTTAATAGAAGATAAAGAATTAGATTAAGGATAACAAAATTATACTTTAGGCAATTCTGCTGGTCGAGTTCTTGTAATAAATTTAAAGTTCAGTTTGATAAAAGATAATTACGATATTTTAGATATCATAAACACGATAGTTCTCGAAGAAGATAATTAAGATAGATAATTACATTTCGGTAATGTTCTATCGTATACATTCCCGTCAGTTGAATTCAATCGCGTTTTGTCCCATCTCGCGCACGTGACCACTGACCAGCGCCACTGGAGATAATTGGAGAATGGACTATGGAGATGCCGCCAAAACGCACGAAAGTCGTCTGCTAGCCAAGGCATGGATGGGCACGTTCTTCAGTGTTTCAGGATAATCGGGATCCTTGAGATCGTTTAAATGCAATTTATATGTCAGCGACGCGATTAAAACGCGAATTTTGCAGTTATTATCGCAAGTATGAGCACGAGAAGTTTATTACTTATCACAATGTATTGTTGTAATGCCACTGCAATACAATGCGTGTACATACAATGTGTTGCTGTAGTGCCATTTGACTGCAATCTTCTGATGTATGTACTGACGAGTGGTTTTTTTGCAGTAGAAACTTTACAGATGGATCTCGATGCTACCTTCGACTGCAACGGTAAGGTGAACGTCAACGACTGGCAGCTGAGCAGAGGTGGGTTGTTTTATCGCAGAGAGGTGGACAATGCGGTTTTTCCACAAACCGACTGTCCCTTTTCTCATGTGGAAGTCAAGCTTTTCGACTGCGTCATGCCCGGAGCGGTCGCCGTGATGAATCTTAAACATCTTATTAATTGCATGGAGTAAGAATGTTTCTCGAGAAAAAAATTTTTCTTCATTGTTACCTTCACTGGCTCTACTTAGGTGAACTATAATACATCAATCATACTTGTCTCTTTGGTAGGATGCAGCTGAAAATATTAAACAGGCAGGAGAGACCAGTCATATCTGGATTATCCAATAACGATAATGTCAATTACTTTTCTCTAAGGAGGATGATTTGCGAATTTATTGTATATTTCCGTGCGTACATGAACAGGTAAGTGGAATGTCTATATCTCTACGATGTTTTGATTTTGCGATAAACGACTCATCTTACGTTTCGATATTGCAGTATAAAGTGGGATCTTGGTGCGTTAGAAGCAGTAATGCCTGAAATCAGCAAAGATGTAGATACTCTGTTTGATTGCGTTAAACACTTTCTCAGTATGCTACACACCATACCAGATTCGACTCTGCATTATGCTGCTTCTAATACAGGCAACAAGGTGATTAAAGAAATTTATTGCCTTTGGCTGAGCGATACAACGTAATACAGTTGTTTCTGTTTCAGTGTAATCAGCCAGAGTTTCATTTGTACCACATGCATTTAGAATTAAGGTGGTTCTTCGCCACGTTAATACATTCGAGAACTATATGGTACCAATATCACATACAGTTGGAGGAGTTTGAAAACACCGCTGAAATTGCCATCAATGATCTCCTATATTCTGCCTTGAAAATATTTGAGAGGGTAATAAAAACGGTTGAAGCATTTAACTCGTTTCCTGTAATAAACGCGTTATTTTATATCTTTCTTTACTTTTTTATTCAGTTAGCTTTAAGCTGGACTGTGGATCTCACGCAGAAAACGCCATATTGCTGCACATGCACGCGAGAATTGTGGCTCATGTTTCAAATATTTGCCGACAGTTTAGGAGAAAGGCAGAAAACTAAGGTAAACTACTATTAATAATTTCGCAGATGTATATTCTTATTGTAATAAAAATTTTTTAGATGTTTTGGGACCTTGTAAATAGTTGTGTCGATCGAGTACTGAGTAGGAATCAATCTCAAGCAATATTCTGGCACAAAAGCGTGGATTCCTCTCTGCCAGATTGTAAAAATCCCGAATTGTTTTGCATCTGGATAATATATCATCTGTCTCTGTTGTACGGATACAGTAACGATGGCGTATACCTGCAGTCTAATTCTCCGAGGGTAATATATAACAAATTAGATTGAAGTTCAAAGATCATGTAACAGATATGTATGTCCATTTACAGATTAGATCAAATTGCGAACAAGTTGAAAAGGTTCTGAAAGCTTACGTGTGTAAAGGTGGAAAAGACGGTGAAAGAGATGAGCTTGATGTAGAGCTCAAGATCATAATACCACTATTACACGATCTTATTATTAATTGGTGGCAACCGCGAGTGCCAATTATATCGTTTCTTTGGGACTGTTTCCACAAAAGATTAGATCAACCATTCTTATTACAGACTTCTGGACCTTGGGCCCTGTCCCTTGAAAAGTATGTTTAAATGATTTACACGTAAATTTAATTGTAGTTACACATCCGAATAAATAAATAAAGTCCGAATATTTTTTTGTAGGAAGACACCTATGGATATTCTGAAGCAAATTAATAACAGAATTTACGGCAAGTTTGAACATTCCAAGGAGTCCAGCTATGGCATGTTCTTGCACCTGATAGGTGAGTTTGTCAAAATTTTTTGAGTAGAGATTGTGTTATAAAGATCAATTTTTTTAGGTATGTTTTTAAAAAAATATGGCACGTTAGATCTTAAATATTGGAATCAAATTAAGGGGCGTGTATATACGAAATTTTCAAAGAACAAAGTAGCAGAGTTCTCCGAGAGTGGCCTCTATAACTTCATATCTTTATTTATCACTTTAGCTATTACCGCAGATATTACGAATGTAGTAAGTTAAAGTATACGATTGTACTACTACAGTTTCATTATAATATATTATCGATATAAATTAATACACGTTTTTGCAGTGTATAACAATGTTAGATCTCTTACCATCTACGCATGAATTGAATAACGAATATAATAAAAAATGCAATCTAATTTGGAAAGGAAAACTAGCATGTCTCCTGTTGTTCAATGAAAGAAGATTATCTCTTGGTTCCATAGCTGGACATTTTACAGAAACGGTATGATCCATTTCTTATGTAAATTACGCAAATGTAAATCATATAAATTTTTTGTATATTCTGATTTTTTGTCTTATAGATCAACTTGATAAGTTGTCGTAAAGATGAAACATCTCGTTCCATGATGACCAATTTCGTTGATGTATTGAACACGATTTTATCTGGCAACGAGAAAATGGATCTAGAAGAGTTTAATTTCATCGGTGGTTGGATCGATCGTTATCTTTTGGAATGCCCAAAGAACAGAATTGCATTTTTATTAGAGATGCTGGCAAATGTCTTCGAAAAATGTATTGTCCTGCAAGTTTCTTGTAACAATTCTGGTTGGTATGTTTTTGTCTTTATCTCGAATATGCTAATTCCAGATGATATATTTTCAAGTTTGTGTAACGAACGTACAAACATTTTTGCTAAAATTTGCTTTCAGATGGTGCCAGAAAGATGTTAGACGCGCTGTGGTGTTTTGTCGCATCCAGAGTTCGCCAACTCGTCTTCGATCCCGTACTCACTGGCAATAATTATAAGATTATTTCCAAATTAGCCGTCATATTTACTTTAGAAGCAGTTAGAGAACCAGCTACCGCTAAGAAGTATAAACACTCGGCTATATCTTTATTTCAGCACTTTGCAGCATCAATACTTGTGAAAGATATAAGGTAAAAATATTTCATCTGAAAATCAGTATCTATTAAAAATAAAATATAATAATAAACTATCTCATCTTCAGAATTACCCAATATTATTTAACATCGATTCTTGAGAATGAGCAAGCTGTGCAAAACTTGAAAAAGGAAATTACAAATTTCGATACTATTCTCATCCAAGTTCGTACATACATTTGCTATATTATTACACGTTACGAAACGATCAGAAGAGTTCATAAAATACATGTTCTAGGCTTGGATAAAATGTTCTATTATTGATTGCGAAAACAAGGAAAGTATAAGTATTCTACAAAATTATATTATCAATCTCAGTGAAATCAAAGAGATATTCGTGTCGGATTATGATATATACGAATTTAAGAACAGTGACGAACCTATTTTGATATTCATAATATCATTAATGAAGAAGCAGAATATTTTAAAGGTATTAATTTTACGAATCCAGCTCGTATTTTACTCGTACTTTGATCTATGAACAAATTAATACAACTGACAAAATTTCATAGTCTGAGCAAGAAAAGCTTCAATACAATGCAAAATGTAAGATGTATTTCAAAAATTTAGAGAAGTGGGCCATGTTACCTATAACGGAGGAAACAAAAGATTCGGAGATCGCATTCTGGATCTATAGATGTCTCGGTACATTGATTCTCTGCATTTCTCCGACGCTATACATTAAAGTACGTATAACTTGATGATTGCTGCTGAAATACTTACGTTCTAAAAAAAAAATCTTACCTTTACAGAATCAACCAAATGACATGTTAAGAACGCTCATCAACAAAATTATGTTGGTACCTGAGAACTCTGCACAGTCATATATAAAATGTTTAGGAAAGAGGATATTCTCAATGATAATACTCGGTCTAGAAAAATTGAATGTCAAAAGCGACATATTATTACAAGCGATGATCAGAGATATCTTCGATCAATACCTGCCGATTTTGATAATTGAAGTAAACGGCGGTTGCAGTTTTAAAGTTTCCGATACGTTGCTAAAATGTTTCAAGGAAGCAAAGAGTGATTTTCTGCGTTCGATTTTCGAGACGTTAATGTCAAACTTTTATAATATATCATCCGACAATGTCATGCACAAACACTCCAACTTGGTACGCAGCCGTAATTATTCATTCAATGTCACAGTGTGGTTGCAAATATATTTATTATACATTCACACAGATAACTTGGCTTATAAAAACATTGCTTAAAGAAGGAAGAAAATATCCCAAATATATTACAGAACACATTATTCAAATTTGTTCCCCGAACATCTTTGGATGCTACATGAAGGTTCATGATCACCATCCACATAAGTTGCACACAATTGACTTTATCAATGACGTAATTAAAAGTCCTTATTATGAAGAAGATAAATTCATCAGGTAAACAAATATCGAGATATATTATATCTAAAGTTTAAATTATATGTATAAATAATTTATAATCAATTTTCGAATCTTCAGGGAAAAATTCCAAGCCGCTATTTCTGCTGCAGTGAAAAAATATTTGATGATAAATACGCAATTTACATTTGAGTTCATACGATCTGTCTTGTCGATAAAGAAAAGTATTATAATCAGTTTATTTCCGCAAATTGAAACCATCATACTTTATGCCGAACAATATCACCGACCCAATGCGGCATCCTTGAGGTAAGAATAATCACAAATCTCTAAATTAGAAATAATAATTCTTGTGCCTTCGTAGCATGATGTAGATTAAAAATTATTATAATTTCAGGTTCCTGTCGAATCAATTGAAAAAACATATGCTGAGTGTGGACAATAATTCATGACAGGATCGCAAGAATTTATTAATAATAATTTAATAAACGTACGCTAAATATTCTAAATAATGACAAATTTAAATTTTTTCCATTTTTGAATTAATCATCAAGTATTAATCAACAAGAACTTGATTTCAATGTACAGAAATGCGTAAGTTGGCCCAAGTTTATATCAAGATACGTAACAGAAATAGAAATTATCGCTATATTATATTCAAAATAAAATTTCGATCAAAATAAGTAGAAAATAAGATATAAATTAATTATTGTCACGTATACTATGAAAATGCCACAAATCATTAGCTGCGATACACACGTAAATTTACTTAAATAACTGGCAATCATCGGTCCTATCGTGAGGTATAAGATGAAATTTACAAAACCACTTAAAACAACACACCTAAATTTGCCCCGCTACTTTCGATGTGAATGCCTCGAACGATGGTGTTTCAACGACGCACTGGTTGTATTGCCCGGAGGCGATCGTCATCCAATTAACTCGAGACGGGACACGGCACTACGTACGGCGTTACGTAGACTTTGCTCGGCATTGCCGTTCAACAGAGACTCCAACCGTTCGAAATAATTGTCCATATTTTGTAATGTAGCACCGTCGTACGTGCCTGCAAAAATTTAAGTAATTGTACAAATGGAGCCTCGAACTGACATGGAATCGGCGAGAGAATTTTCTGCGGAAACTCACCTGGAAGCGATATGGTGGCGAAGCAGCCTGCCAGTTGAGAACGAAGAGAATCTAAGTGACGCTGCAGAGCTTGATTGGTCGTTCGTTGTTGATTAGTTTCGGACTCCAAGCGATTCACGGCTGCGTGCAGACTGTCCACGTGTCGCTGGAGAACTGCGTTCTGAGCTTCATAATCGGACGTGGCTTTCCGCAATTGTCTTAATTCAGCCTCACAGGCTGCACAGATATTTTCATTATTTTTAAAATTTGTCTACACTACTATATCTAATATATTTTACCGACTATTCGCAGTTACTGTAACTTCTTTACCTTTGTTATGATCAAGGAATTCTTCTGTGAAAATAGGGATATCGAAGCCTGTAAAATCATTGTCCTTTTCCTGCTCAACATCCTAAATAAAGAGTTTGCATTAACGTTACGATAGATTAGTTGCAATCTTATAGTATAGTAATATATCATCGTACATTCTGTTCAGCATTTACGTCCGTGCCGTTTCTCTCCTTCTTACTTTCATTTTGTCTCTCCGACTGTTTTTCGTTAAACAGCCGATATGCTTCTGTTTGCTTGTAATTGCTAAACTCGCGATTGTAGCGCTCTTTGTCTCGCTCGGCTGCATCCAAATAACGCTGCAAGTATTTATCACTCCATGTTAGTGTTACAGAGAAACGACAAGAGATATTGTAAAAACGCAACGAACCTGCTTCTGATCGATTTGCAATTTACTCCATTCCGCGGCTAGAAGTTTCGTAATCTCTGTGAACGTCAAGCTTGGATTCTGGTTTCGGACTGTCTCTCTTCGGTCGTTTAAGAACCTACATCCACGTTATATTTCGTTATAGACACAATATTCTAGCGTATATTAAGATACTTGTACATTCAATCATTACAGAAAGTAACCACTCAGCGGCTGTCTCGGTGCAGTGGCGTCTCTTGGAGCCTTCTTACGTTTCTTCGTTCTATTCGGCGCGTTGCCAGTGGCGGTGGCACTCCTCTTTACACCATTGTCACATACGGAATCTGGTGCCTTCTCCTCTATACTCACTGGAGACTTGACTAATGAAACAGAAAAGACTACACGATCAGCATTTAATTTATCAAGTAATATCAAGTAAATACTCTTTTATTAATATATGGATAGTTATTAATTTTTTGTAGTTCATAAAAGATTCAATTAAGAGACAGAGTAAATTATATGGAAATTTTGCTGTAGACCATTCTGCTGGTTGAATCAATCACTGATTAAATTTACCAAAGTTTACTCTTAAGTTAGTCAAAGTCACCTTCAATTCAATAACTCAATTTACCAGCGTGTTCCTCTGCTTCCCCGTTGTAAGCAGGCTGCTCCATCGCACCGTTGCTCTCAGGTACATCATTCGTTGGAGTCTCGCTCATTTTCCGTGATACGTTGTCCCTCCGATGCTGGTCTCGCAACATAAAATCACCCTGTCGATCTCAGGCTATACATCCATCATATGTCTACAGCGCGAATCAAAGCTTTATGCTCTCTGTAACGCCATATAATTTATTTAATTTATTTAAATCTGCGTGAAATAAATATTATCATCCACGATACGTACCATAAGAACTGAAGAGCAACGCGTCAAGCAAAATGTACATTTATGTCCAATGTTGCATGACAATGTCCATTACACAACCACGGTGCAAATGCAAAATCTTTACATGTCCTGCAACGGTGCGTAATTATTCGCGCTTGTAAAATAAATATTGTTATCTATTGGAGTACAAAACGTACCATAAGAACTGAAAATCGAGCTCCTATATACTAAATCGCATCAAGAAAAATTTGCTTGTCACTGCTTGTCACTCAGCTGCGAGGTTAAACCGCTAGGGAGCTAATTGCCGTCTCATTAACAGTATGTACTATGTACAACAATCGCCGTAACGAGAACGAGACTTTACATGGCGCGCGGCGCGCTATCGCGCTTGTTTGCGCACTCCGGCAGTCGGGCACTCGATTGACTCGATCTCTTTTTCCTCCCTTTCGGATATCGTCCTCGACACGATCGGCAACGAGGACTCTCGAAAGCTAATTAGTCTAATCACTCGGCGTCGAAAGGCGTCGAAAGGCGATAACCGTTTCCGGATCACTTTCGGATGGAACGCCACGCGTCTAGATATTCGTGTCTCGTTCGTGCCCTTGTTGAAATTGTGGCGCAGAGGGTGGAGGGACGAGAGGGGGACCGGTAAACGTAAACGTTGCCGGGTTGTCACGTTGTCAGGAGTGTCAGGTGGATGTTTTTGGACGAGATCCTTTATTTTTCCATCGCGTAGCTTAGATTCGACGGGATGGAGTGCATTTACCGGTTACCGTTCTTAATCCTGGAAGTGCCTAACTTAAAGCTAAAGAGACCGTCCTGGTTCGTGAAGCCTAGCGCTATGATAGTCTTCTCCTTCATCCTGCTGTCGTACTTCTTGGTGACAGGAGGTTAGTCCTGTTAAAAATTATCTCGACTTGTTTATTCATTATCGCGTTATAAACTTATATAATTTACAGTGCAGTGATATAATGTTATTTTATACAATTTATAATTTCTCTAATACTAGGTTTGTTTTATCGATTGTTCAGTTTTACATAAACACATGTTTTACACTTTACAGGAATCATATACGACGTAATTGTTGAGCCACCTAGTGTAGGATCTACGACGGACGAACACGGTCACACGAGACCCGTAAGCCCCTATCGAAAATACCTTCATCCTCAGCGATTCGTTTTTTTAATTTAACCCAGGATGATCCTTGCAGGTAGCGTTTATGCCTTATCGCGTGAACGGGCAGTACATCATGGAAGGTTTGGCCTCCAGTTTCTTGTTTACGATGGGAGGCTTGGGCTTCATCATCCTGGATCAAACGCATGGCCCGTCGACGCCAAAGCTTAATAGAGTTCTTCTGATATGCGTGGGATTCCTCAGCATACTCGTGTCGTTTACTGCTTGCTGGATATTCATGAAGATGAAACTTCCGTAAGGTTTATTTGTGACATGAGACAATTCTGTATGCTGTTATCAGATAAATAATTATTTTTATTTTTCAGCGGGTATCTGCAGTCCTAAGTTAACACGCGACTGAATTCCATGAATATTGTGGTGAATTATCGTTTTTATATAATATCGAATGGGATATCGTTACAATACACAGGATGTTGTAACAGTGGATTGGTGATTTTTGTAATAAAGTATAATAAGCAAAAAACTAGATAGCTTTAGCATCATTATTATTTATAAGACAAGAGATGTTATATAATTTTTTATTATTATATAGACAAGATCATAAATATATACTGTCAAAACTAAGTTTTTAAATAATATATTTCAATACGGGTATGTATTTTTTAAATGCGCTTATTAAATATACCTGTGGAAGTTTCTACTGAAAATGAATTTTCTGTCTTCCAACTGGAGCAAGTTGACATGATGACTTTACTACGTCAAACTTGGGCATTCATTCAACTTCATTACATAAGGTATATCTTTTAAAAATGCTTGTATACTGGTCGAGAAGAGATGTGATTTCTCTTTGTTAAATTGGAGCATCATATATGTTTTAATAATATCACTGTGTTTGGCAGTTTAGTTATAGCATTATATGATATTTTTGAACTAAGAGATCTATATTCGTGGTTACGTGGTCCTTCTACCATAATCTTACAAATAAATAAGCTCGATAAAAAATTAAAAAAAGATCAAGATCTGACTTAGGCCAAATTATAGAGCCCTGGCACATTCAGCAAACGTTGATCATGATTTTTCCTTTTTTCAAAGTACGCGTTAGGCCCATGTCTGCTATTATAATTAAATGTCGATTAATGTTCAGTCTTTCATTGGCGAGTTCGTCATTAACGACATTCACTTTTATAAACGAATTCGAAAACTCCTGCAAAAAAGATTTTGACGTTACTGGCGAATGCGAGTAAAATTATTACTTTATAATTGTGATCTAGCGAAGCGTCTTACTTAGAAAAGTCGCTGCTCTTCTCTATAATATGCTCAAACTCGGCGAAGCTGAGTGCTCCGTCGTCATCCAGATCAGCTTCGTCAAGGATATACTGAAGAAGCTGCTGCATGTCGCTATCGTTCAATCTCTGGGGCGCGGTTAATCTGTCGACCACTTGTCGTAAGTCTCCCACACCGAGCATATCGTCACCATCGAAATCTTCATAAATAAGATTTTGTCACCAAAAAGAGGATTTCAGAACATCGTGAATAATTAACTGGCGGCTTACCGAATATTCTAAAAGCGTGCTCAGCCTTCACAGCCTTTGGAGCAGCATCGCTGAATACAGACATCATGTCCAGAAAATCTTCGAAGGTACAGTCGCCATCCTGACTAGAGCTGAAGACTTTACAGATCCTGTCGCCAAAAGGATTCACTCTCAATTCGGGATACTGCAAGATCTTGGACATTGGCAGCTTAGCATTCTTGTTGTGTCCAACTTTCTCTGGAGCAAGCGCCTTGAATTTTTGATGTGCACTACTCAAGAAAGAGTAAATACAATTTTGCAAATATAATAATTAACAGTCTAGTCCAATAAGATAAATTATATGAAGAAATTTATGCTCAATAGACAAAAATATCAATCTTGTTGATAGTACTCACTGTAAGACTTCCTTTTTAGTGAAATACGTCAAATCCTATCAACAAAAGAAGAACACAGTTTGATTAAAAAGTCCTTAAGGGATAAATAAATGTCAGAAATGAAGATAAGCGAAGGATAATAGCTACCAGGAAGAAGACAAGTCTTACTTGATAGTCCTGCAACTCTTCCTCCGTAAATTGACTCTTTCCTGCACCCATCCTCGCGGAATAACTATACAACGTGTCAACGAACTTGAACGAACGCTTCAATTATTTTTATGAAGAAACTCGGTCATTGTTAATCAACATTGAACACTAATGATGACTAATTTGTAAGATATATCCGACCTGTTACAGTCGTTTTTAAGCTGTAAATGTAGCTTTGTCAGGGCCAGTTAAAAAATTTTATTCTCCGAAACTGACTTGTCGATTAATTATTTCGTAATCATTGGATCGTCACGGTTGTCTTGCAAATGTAATTGTGCTTTTAAAGGGCGCTGCTTATTGATCAGCGTGGAGCGTGTCGGTGCACGTCCGTCGAACTTCGGCTCCATTTATCTGCACCTAAAACGGGACACAGCACAGATATACACATTCGGCCTTCGGTGGAAGAGAGAGAGAGAGAAGAGGGAGGGTGCAGAAGATACGAAGAGACACATCGGCAAAGTGTGGCACAAAGTGGTAAAGGCGGAAACAGGCGTAACTTCTGAATGAGAGAACTCTCGAGCGGCCCGGAGCTACTCAAGTTCTTGTGACAAAAGACGAACGATGGCGACGGAAAAAGTCGGAAAGATCCTTAAAGACATCTACTATGATCAGTTCAAGTGGTGAGTTTACGAAGAGCCGCGTCGTTTGTCGCGGAGATCGCGGGGTGAACTTCGACGGCGCCTGGCGAACATAACCTCGTACCTCCTGCCGGATTCACTTCGCTTCAGCATTAATTTTCGAACGAAAGTTTTATTGTTAACGCTTCAACAATTAAACCGCTATTGTTATCATGAATTACTTTCTTCATCTAAAATTCATGCATGTAACATGGATTCGTGTTGCGACTGTTCCAAGTCACAATTGTTTCATTAATTACTCCTTAAAATATATAAATAATTTACGTTCCAAATTCGGATAGTCAAATCTGTCTAGAATAAATTTTGAAAATGTCTGCAAATTTTGTCGATAGAATGCCACCAGAAATTATAACAGAATATAATGGCAAAGTCATTGTAGAAATTGAGCAAAATCTGCAAAAATTTTAATGATGTATTCCATTTAAATGTTTAAATACAGATACAGATGATACCGAAATCTGTTGCAATATCGGAGCAAATCTGCTACCAATCTATTATTGTCATACTGGGACAGATTGCTTACTGGGAATATTCTTATTCTCAATTATTGTATCTGTAATTTCTGCAGCGTACGTAAATATTTCATACTAACAATCGCTTTTTCTTTGCAGGTCAGTGGTGAAGAACATCGCTTTCTTCCTCATCGGTGTCAAGATCGCCGTTGAATGCAACGGGATGACTATCATGCCGCCAGTCTCCGTTTAAGCCTCCCTTCAAGTGACGTGAACCTGCTATAAGATCCAGAGAACTGTCCGAATGCTCCAGCGATTTCTTGCGTCTTGCACACTGCAGTTACAATCGTTACGAGCATGTAATAGATTTCATCTGTACAAAACTATGTATATTTTGTATTTGAGACACACTTGTTAAATAATTATTAATAAACGATGTATACAGTATCTGCCGTTGCGTTATTTGCGATATCTAGGATGGCTTTGACCAGACTCGAATCTGGATGACTTGATCGACTCCCCTGGCGGAACTGCTTCCAGCAAAATTTCAGACTGTGTGATATTTATTATCTCGAATTTCTCTCCGTGTCACTCCGTGTATCAAAAGGACGGAAAATTAATAATTTTATCCATGATAATGAAATCGCTGATTAGGTCAATGCTTTCTTGTTCCATTTGTTTGCGCCGCCAGATTAAAAAAAAGCGCCTGTTTTTTCTACACGTACATACACTTATAAGTTGTCTATCTCTTTCTAAGATGGCGCTACGAAACCCTGATAAGCTCCATACTCCATACTTGCTTTGTGTAATGTATGTACATACATACATATATAAATGTCTAGTGTCTAATCTGAAGATCCGGTGCAAATTCACGTGCTAATTTGCGGACTGCGTTGGACCTGCTTGATTTATCATATGGTTAAATGTTAATTCAACTGAGGTCGCAACTTACTTCGTGGAGGATAGATTGCATAGGATGATAGAGTACCTTAAACAGTTTTGTCATTGCATGGGACGACGTGTGACAAGTGGCCCTACAAATCTACTGTCAATAAAAACATAAACTTTCAAGTACATATTTCTCGTTGGGACTTAGCGCTTCGTCAACATGAAGGAGGAAGTGGAGAACAATTGCAATTCCGAGTTACCAGGTAAACTTGAAATATTATAAATGATTAGAAGCTGAAGGTGTCAAAAGTATTTTGCAATTAAACAGTGTTTAATAAATTCTTGCTTCTTAAAATGACCAAAATATCAAAACATCTATTTGCAGCTGTGGTCGGAGCCCTATTAGATACCTTGGACGACAAGAACCAAGATGTAAAGCAGTCCGTGATCGAGTCGATTGAAAGAATAAGCCGGAAAAACCCAGAGATCGTCATTCATGCTGCCATTTATTTTTGGGAGATGCATAAGAAGGTAATTTTTTATTAGAGATTGCTATCATGTATTGCATCATTGTTGCATATATGATACAGTTTGTTAAGCGATTTTTACTATTCAAAGATATCCACGGAGCACATGGGATCTTTATTGAACATAATATCTAGTATATGCAGACACTCGACTACAAGTTTAAGTGTAGATTTAGTGTCGTTTCTCGCTGAGATAGCAGTAAACGAGTTGATAGGCGAGACTGAGAAGGAGGCGGCCGAGTTGTTGATTGAACTTTGCAAAATACACTGCATGCAAGCTACCGGTGGACTCTTAACTAAGTAAGTGCTGATAATACTTTTCGCAACTTATTTGCGATAAGTACGCTATAAACCCTGGTGGAAAATGTCTCAGAATTTTTTATATTATTAATCAGAATTTCTATAAAAATTCAGAATTTTTCATAAGTCTCAATTTTCACCAAATTTCTGAGAAAATATGAGAAATGTTTTTTACCAGGGAAAGGTATAATGTTGGTCTGCTGTATTTATGTATCTGATTATTATATGTATTTTATAGATTGGAACCCGGAGTAATTCCCAATCCTGCGATAATTTTCACAATAGGGAAGCTCGCGACGGCCAATCCGTATGGAATGCTGTCGTTTGTTAAAATAACGTTGACTATCATGTTACCGATGCTGAATCAGATACGGGAAGAGGTTCTCAAACAAGCAATTTGTTTTAGTAAGTATATACATTTTATGATGATTCCTGATAAGATTAATGAAGCTCTGCATTACTGATTTCTTGGTTTCCAGTGATTTCCAGGTTTTGTGAAGCTATAAACGATTATATAATGAACGGACAAGACTCGTCTCTGGGAATTACTAAACAGACATTTGTGGAAGAAATTTGTTCCGTCTTCGACTTTCTGACGCACAATTGGTTGAAGACATCTCGCGATTTCAAATCAACTGAAACTATTTTAATGGCATTCGTGCCTATGGTACCTTTGCTGCCTGTGCAACAAGATAGCGACAGAATTGTAAAATTAATACCCGTGTGTTTAAGTCTTTGTAAGAAGCAAAATCTACGTTTAGCTGCTGTGAGGTGAGTTTCATAGTTTGCAATAAATTTATTATTTGTTCACTGTATATTATATTAGATATATAACTTTTTAAAATACTTTAATAAGTTTAAAGAAAATTTCATTTTTTTAAATTTAATTAATATTATTACGTTAACAGAGTTTTAGCTGTGATTTTAAGTTCTGTCGAGACTGAAAATGACAAGGAGGCAATCCGCCCATTTATGGAGAATATCCACCAAACTCTGTCCGAATTCGTTAGTATTTATCCCTTCGAAGCAGCTCGGGATGCAGTTCTTACACATTATGAAGTGCTGCAGTGCTCCAGATCGTTGGTTGTGTTGTATCCCGAAGAAGGTCTCGATAGGTAATTGACATTTTCACACTTAATTAAATTAATTTTTAATTTAATTAAATTTAATTAAATTAATTTTTGAAATTTTTTGTTTTTTCGCAGAATCTTGCAGCAGTTGAAGTCGCCAGTTGCTAATCAACGCGCTCGTGCTTTAGTAGTCCTCAGACACCTCATAAACACTCTTCCACCAGAGGTACGGAAATATCTGATTTCATTAACAAGTTCGTTTAAGTATTAATTAACAATTGATATGCATATTGTTTTATTAGGATGATGGATCTCTACAGAGAATTGCACTTAGCCTGCAGGAATCTCTCGGGGAGAATGGTGCGCTCCAAATGATCGGTGCTATAGTGGCACTAGCGGCTCGGCCGACATTCCCTCTTTTGCCGTCACAGAGAGCTAGATTTGTTCGCTATATGGTAACATAAATAACGCCCAAAGTAAAATTAGAGAAAAATAATTGGGAAATTAATTTCATTTTGTTAAAATAGGTGTCACACTGTGAAATAAAGAGTGACGATATGGAGGCATGTTCTGAAGCTTTGTATTTGCTTGCAACGACAGTTGACGGTGTCGAATCTTGGCTGTGGCCGTGTTTGATAAGCGCATTACTGGACTCAGCTTGCATAGCATCCGTAAGTAACAATTCTATTTGCCTGAGATACTCATCGTATGTTAAGTTTAATGCCTGTATTGAATTACTGTTCTTCTCTCTGACCGTAGGTCACATCCGTACTACGTTCATTATCTCCATTAGCGGCGAAAATAATACGCGATGAAAATTCTTCAACAAATGAAAGGGACTTCCCTGGAACAAAAGTCTTAGGCAGATGCCTGGAATTGTTAAGCAACCCGGCTAATCGATCCGCAATAGTGGCCTTTTTAAAATCGGCAGCACCTTTGGTAGGACACAGAGTAAAATCTTATTGGGATGAGAAGCTACTGGAACTTTCACAGGAACTCTTGCAAGATGAGCAAAGAAGCTCTCGAAAAAACTCTAAAGAAGTGAAAGATGACGTGCAATGGTAATATTTTTTGTACAGATTTTGTATAAATTAATTTAATTTGTTTATTTTAATTATGTATATTGTTATATTATATCGTCAAAAATATTATTATATACATATTATATCGTTACCTTTAATTTTCCTTCTAATCTCTAGGGATTTAATATGGGAAGAAAAAGTAGTAGAGTGGTTAGAAGAGAGCGTGAAACTAGAAGGAGAGTCATGGGGCGCAAAGCTCGCTGACGAACTCGCTTTGAAGGCAAACACACCGGGTGTTGCGCCGCTTTTGGCATCTACGTGCAATAACAACGCTCACATCACCCTACTCGTCGAACTCGCGCGTTCTCACGGCACTACCAAGGAATTCGCGCGAGCGGTCGGCATCTGCGCCAAACGGCATCTAAGTATCGTGCTGAAATTAATGGAGGAGTTTTGCACCGTCGAGGATGCCAGGAAGGCCCCTGTGAGGTTGCTAGGTTTCGTGAAGGACACAAAGGCTGCTGCTACCGCCGAGGCTGCAAAAGCGGGTTTATTGAATTCCTACGCCGAAATTGCTCAGAAGGGGGATCCGCAAGAACTTTTTCCTATCTTCGAAAAGCATGTGTTACCTTGGACTATTAAACAGTTGCACGAATGTAAGGAACTGTCTACGAAGGAAGCGGGATTGTTAGTCTTGGAACAAGTAATTAATTTAATTTTAATAAACGATTATACAAGTCTTTAATTGAACTCATATACTTAAGATGTGAAATATTCTCTACTTGTTTATTTGTAGGTGGCCAAGGCTGTTCATCCCACCAGATTGTCCGAATCTAAAGGCCTACGCGTAAAGGCTACTGCTCTGGCAACTCTGTTGGGAATTTTGCAGTCGTCAACTGGATACAGACCGTTGCAACTCTATCCGGCGGTACTGAAAGCAGCAAACTCTTTAATGTACGTTTTGCTTAACAATGTATTTATTCGATATTATACATTGAACAAATGTATAAATAAATGTATTTTTTTTTTATATTTTTACAGACGTATACCGCCAGCATTAAATAATGAGGAAAGAGAGATCTTCCTCAGCGCAGTACTGGATAAGACAATTAGTGCGAGTTCGGAGGTACCAAAATTAAGATTACAGTGTCATATTTGCCGATTGTTTTCGATGATTAATTAATATCTCTGTCTTAGATTGCTTTACAATTACATCCGGAAATAATGCAACAAGTTGTGGATGAGTTGGGGACCGTGTCCAGCGAAATTGTATCCGATTCAGCAGATGCGTTAGCTGAGTTAGTTGACATATTGCTACCTTGGATGCAATCCAAATCGAATGTGGAGAGAAAAACTACTCTGTTGGTGCTGCATACGGTGCTCCAGTAATTATTACAATACACAATTACACACACACACACACATATATATATATATATATATATATATATATATATAAAATATCTTTATTTTACAATATATATCTCATAGATTTGTAACGTGTGCTCTCCTTTATAGGTCTTATTATAATTCTTTAAAATATACATATCCAGGCGGCAAGTTGGATGCCGGAAAACTAGTAGGAAGAACTTTATGTTGGTGTGCGGACACAGAATTCGCGTTGAGACCACTGGCGATAGACTGCATGCTTCTCACTTTGAACATTGCAGCCCGTCATCGGCATACATTACCTGATAATACCTTGAGTGAAGACGTACAACAAATAAAGAAAGAACTTATGATCGAAGATTCATCGGTATCCTATGGAGCTGTACAAGTTAGTTCATATAATTGAATGTTGCAAAAAATCTTACCGCGATAATAATTTCAATGAAAGCTAAACTGTAAGATATAATTTATTGTAAACAGAGACTGGCTAGTGCGGTATCGCAGAAAATCCCCAACGGCGAGATAGTTAGCTTAGCGGAGGGATTGATAGAAGGGTTGCTATTCTATGGAGAATCGGGCCTGGTAGCAGGAATAGCTCTCTCGCAACATTTTCAAATTAAAGGATCGGAGATATCCAGGACCGATGTTTGCTTAGTCGGTGTGTAAAGTGCAAATTATCCAGTCATCAATCGTCACTTAAAAATCTTTATCCAATTTTACAATATATTGCTGACAGAATGTTTTTGCTATTTATATTGTTGCAGAGAGTATCATTACACAAATGAGACAAATGGAAAACGCGAGCTGCAGGTACATTGCAACGGTGGCTATAGTGTCACTGATGAAGCACCATCCGGAAGAAGTGATCGAGCATCTTTTGTCTCAGCCATTACCATTAGATCCAGGTACCGCATTGTGCTGGAAAGAAATTGGCAATAATGATTCCTTTGGACCCCGAGTAGGTCTTTTTTTTATACATAATTACACATTTCTAACGTACTACGTTATAAATATAACATTATCATGATCTTTTTTGTTTCAGGCTTTGGATATGCTGTTAATAAAACTCGAATCCAACAGTCTATTTTCTGAGATTGCTAGTCCGCCCGCATATTCCGGACGGAATAATACCGCATCTCTTCCGTCCTTGGCGGCCATGGTGGGCTTGAAGCATCTTCTTGAATCTTTGCACATAGAAAGCTTGATTACCAGCAAGCAATTAGCGGGTTTGTTATCAGTTCTCCTCAAATACCTCTCGGGCTGGTTGCACGTTGACGCTCCCGCGTCGTTGATAAATACGAAGTACGGATATGTACCGAATCGAGCGGCACAGAAGATAAATCCGCATACGGAAGTGTATTCTATATTAACCAACATATTGGTAGCCATCCAACCGAATACTGCATCCAATTTGCCGATAGAGACTGTACGTATCAAAGCGTTTTACAAATTTACGATCATTTTGACTTCAAGCCAATGTGTATCTTATGCATTTAGGCATTTGCTTCCGAAATGCAAGCCGAGGAGAACCTGATATCGACTGTACGAACATTGATGAAATGTATATCGACCAGAAACGAAGTCCTGTCGAGCATGACACAATCCTTGAGCAAACTGATGACCAGCACAATAGCTATACAGCGAGCGGTTGCTGCCACCTTTTACTCAGAATTGATTGGCAAAATAGATTGCGGAGCTATATGGCTTGATGCCATAATTAACACTCTGCACGATGCTAAGGCCGATTCATCGTCCTTAGTGCGAAAGCTTGCTACCATCGGACTTGCTAGAATAGCCTACTTGGACCCGAGACAGGTAAAGTAATTCTTTTTCAATACGCATTTTCATATATTGACCAATAATTGTCTTTTAGGTCGATGAATATTTCGACAATTGCATGGAAGCCTTACTCGATGGATTGGAGGAGACCGCCGGTGGGGAAGGCGGTGCTGAAGTAGTACTCGAATCGTTACGCGGCCTCTCGGTGCTGTTATCGGTTCAATACAAGAGGCCTGTCAGCCCCCGAGTAGTGCTGGCCTTGAAACCGTTTTTCGAGAAAGAAAACACTGAGATGAAGCTTGCTGCCATAGGCGCTCTGGGCGCGATAGCTACCAATTGGCGGAGATCAATTACATCGCCGGATGATGATTTAATCGATCATCTTCTCGGCTGTTTGCCATCTCTGATAATAAGACTGGAAGATTCGAATATAACAGTAGTTAAGGTACGTCTATATCGCGTCATTGTAAAATGTGTTACTCAATTACATGTTCGGATGTTTACTTATGCCGCTTATGCAACAGACTGCACAGGAAACCTTATGTAAAACTGCAAGTATGGTGCAGAATGAGAGATTATCGAATGTGATACGTATTAATTTGGGACCAAATGCCAAATTCAGCTTTGAGGATTTTTCCAAGGACTTGATAAACTGTTTGAAAGAGGAATTTCCACAAAGAGCAGAAGAACTAAGGTAAATATGCAATACCGTAATGTATTTTCCAATTTAATAAAATATAAAAAATAGGTACGTACTCTAAGCTTTGTTGTCTCTGCCAGAAACGCCGTTGTCCGCGGATACTCTAGATCAGAGAATTATCACACCAGAGCCACGTCCGCGCTGCTCTTAGGATTATTCGATTCCCCGAGGCCCGAAGATGTACAAAGACTGTTACAACTCCTACGTGATAAAGAAAGTATTGTGAGAATGCGTGCGTCGCAAGCTCTTTCATTTTGCTTTACACTTTAGCGTAGGTAATATTTCAATGATTCGTTTCGGTTGTTCTCGAGAAGAGTTTTCTTCACTTTCTAAACCTTTTCAAGGCCCGGTTTTCATTCTCTGGTTTACTTGTAGTTTAGGCTTAACCTAAAGTTTAAAATAAAAATTGCGTTTTTCAATTTATGGTTGATCACTAAACTAATGGTTTCCTAAGGCTACCTTTTACTATCAGCAAATTTACTGATTAACTTCTGGTTTTATGTTTACTAGAAGATTCTACAGCATATCAATACCGCCGTTATATTCATTATTTGCATTCTCGTAGTCAAACTTTTTTCCATGCTCTCGTAGTAACTATCGTTAGCTTACGTGTAACAAATCCTCTGTAATTATTTATGGTATTCAATTTATATTCTTTTGTATCGTCTCGATTTTTGCTTTCACGACTTTTTTAAAATTTTAAAACTTTGAAACTTTTATTTTCAACATTATTCTTGATTTATTGTATTTTTCTATAGTAAATGTTGAGTGAATTATAGATACCTATATTACATAAACTAAAGTTTTTTTTTCTGAGTTGTAATACCAGCATCAGAAATTTTTTGATGGGTAAAGGTTTATTGAAGATTGATTAACCAATAACAATACATTGAAAAACGCAATAACAACTAACTTGAAAGTTAATCTTCAAAGTAATCTGACTAGATATATTTACCTTCAAATGAAAAACCAGGCCCTAGAGTTACGTTTTTATTCTTGTGATATTGTAGATTTTTAACAGTCAATTTATTTAGAGGCCATATCATTATAATATAAAAAAAAATTTTTATTGTAATTATTATAATTGTTTTGTTAGACAGAATGTGTACATAGACAATTGATTTATTAACATCATGAGGCAAAACATACTTGTAAATGAATTTATATACTGTTATTGTTAATCGACTAATTAACAGATTTCTTTTTTCTCTATTGGCACTCCGTACGCAATGTATGGTCTATATCCTGTATACGATGAAGGCAACTTGTTATAAGTAATACTTAATTTATTTTTATTAATTAATTTCCTTATCATGTGCTCTTTTTCTGATATTTATTTGCATGCATCTGACCCACTATAAAAGAATTTTCAAATCATCATATAAGATATTTTCCTATGAAAAATATAATATTGATAACTGCTGTAAGTACATTTCTTTTATGCACGTGGTTCTTTCTTTTCGAGTTTTATCCTTTTTATCATAACAAGTATCATCCACGAGAAAGGAACGACTTTGCATGCTATCCCATTTCCTAGCAGCTCGGTGAAATCTCGCTGGCAAACGAGATATTATTTGTTGATCAGTCGACTGTAAATTACGTCGATCTGTTTAATTACTATAAAACGTAAAAATTTACAATGTAGCATACTGTAGTAAGAATAATACGAGTTTTTCAGATTCTTCTATGTGTCTTTTCGATAGGCAAGAACGTTGAACTTTAAAGTCACCCCAAATTTCCCTTGCCGCTTGATTTATCGTTGTTTTGTATATAAAGTCGATTAATAATTTTCTTTTATCTTTATCTCGCACATCATCTAAACTTACACCCAACGCCATATGCCTTCTTGGCCTTTCTCTAAATCGAGATTAAAATTCTAGGAATTTATGTACAAATATGTGTGTACAGAATCGAATATGTGTGGAAATTAGTTGTCTTGTTACAAATCATTACTTGATTGTGCTCTCCAGATATTCGTCTCTAAGAATACGTCTTTTCTCTGTTACTTTTACATTGATACCGATCATATCCCTCGGCTCCCACAATGCATTGAATGCAGGACATTTTGCATAGCTGAGTCGTTCCAAAGTATCGTGAGCTATAATCGAGCATTGTGGTTGCGATAATGTTGTCGATTTCATCCTCGACTTGCAAAAGCAAATTTCTGTAGCAATCTACTAAAATATTAGACACCTCGAATGCACTAGACTTGTGAAACTTCCAACAAATTAATTATGTCAAATAATATTAATATTGATATTAATATTTATATATGGTTCTTCATATTTATACATTGATTTTTGATATAAATGGAAAATATCTGGTTTGCATAGTCGGTGAATGATAGATATAAAATGTAATATTTGAAACATCGGTTACAGAGCGTAATCTACGTAGCTGTGAAAACGGCAATTGTTTTAGCGTATAAACACTGAATTCATACATATTTGTATATAGTAATAGATACATAATAATATATGTGATGATGTATAATTAGTAGAAACGGCTATGTGAAAAATATTTCAAATTTTTAATATATATTCTTATAACAATATTTTTACGCTATCTACACTTTCCTTTCAGGTATACATAAAAATACGTTCGTACAATAATCATATACCTAAGATTACATTTACGATTCTCTCCTCTAGCAGGTCAACATAAAGTACTTTATATATTATATACATATATTTTATTTATACTATATATATTTAGCAATGTATTTTTTATAAAAGTTGTATATAACAATATAATGGTGTACGTTCCCCGAATATCATTACAAGAATTTATAACAATATGTAATAGTAAATATAAGGTAGTCATTTGCTATGCAATTTTTCTATACAAACACTCAGCTGTTGGAGACGATGAAGCAAATGCCGCATATTCGCGCTCGATTGTCGGAGACCTGATTGCTCGCCACCCACTTCTTGCCGTTGGCCCAGCTCAAAGTGCAGCCGGGCTAAACGTTCTTGCTGCTCTCGTATCTCCGTCATCTGCTCCATACTACAGTCTTTTCCTATAAACGATTTTCGGTCTCATTAAGTGTTTTACTGTTTATATATGGCTATACCAACCAAATGCTCGTAAATTGCCGCTGTGAAAGTCTTCCAACAATTGCAGCAGAGCTTGCTCCATATGGCGGACATCGGGTACCTCTGACAGAAAGCAATGGTGTTTGCATGGCACCACGGCTTTGTATAATAATGCCAAAACAAAATCAAAAGAGATGTAAAACTCAAAGAACTAAAACATAAGGCTTATCGTTGTACACGATAAACTCATAAAATTATAACAAATCTATAAAACATGTAAATATATATTTATTAAAAAGAAAGTAAATGAAATATAGAATTGGAGAACCAAAGAAACTGAAAAGATGAAAAATAATTGTGTTTAAGATGATTTGCAGATCTCTGGAGCCTCAATTACCTTTATGCTGCCTCACAATTCTCGGTGGATCCGGCCGACTAGGCCTCTGCTTTTCCTTCTCATTAAGGTACATCAATCGAGACTGATTGCCAGTGTAACTTGAAGCGTTAGCAGCTCGACTGGAAACCATGGAGCCTTGACTTGTCCCTTGACCGGAGCTTCCTTTACTAATAATCGGCGATGTTTGTGTGTTATTTTCCCATAGTATTTGTTGCTACAAAAATATCACTTAGGAATAATAATTTACGTTATCATACCGTCGTCATCAATATAACAAGATAAGGACAGGCAATTGTATAGGTATTATGAGACCTCGTACCGTTACGTTGGAATTATGCGTTTCAGTTTTGCCTGGACGTTGAGATCTCGCTGGCGTCGACGGAGGAGTAGCTTCTCCGCCGTGGCTGAGCGGCTCCTCGCATTCTTCCTCTTGAACCAACTGCTGCAATTCGCCACATCCAGCTGCTTCCACCATAGCGACGAAAAACGTGTGGAAGAATCCCTAACTGAAAGTATTGCTAATTAATTATCTATTCAAATAATTTTGTTTTTATTTTATTACTACATTTTACTTTTTACTCTTCTTAATATTCTATCTTAATACTTTAAATATATTTAATAGTGTTAATATTTCATAGAAACTCTTTGGATGCGTTATAATCCCTGCATATATTTTGTTTTAATTTTATGGAACAATCGAGTCAAGAGAAATAATTTACCTGAACTATTAATAATGCATCGCACCTTTGACTATATCTTATGGTATTTTTATCGCGGTTTAGTCAATTGTTGATGCAATTGATAATTACGGATTACGCTTAATTGGTGTCATCGTGTCTTCCAATTATGATTTTCAAGTGTTTAGAGGTTTGATCGGGACTGCTGACGAAGAAATCGACGACTACATATTTAAATGTATTATTTAATCGCGTATTAACTTTTATTGTTTACCTTTCGCTTCTCGCCCGAGTTAACCTCGCTCGCCAAACTGTCACACAACTGTCACTTCTGTCTGAGTCACGGCTTCTTGCACGAATATCTAGGAATATAGGAATATATATCTAGGAATATCTCCGAGCCGGAGCGATCATCAGCTGATCGTATTATTGTGCTGTGTGCACTGAAAGGTATAAAACGTCGTTCTCTTTCGACTTCTTGCTGAATTCTTCAAGTATCATCTGTTTATCTCGCGTGAAAAGCGTGTCATATATCGTGAGTTTCTTGATATCTTATATATATCAATGCCGAGTACAAGATTTGTCCAACGAACGTTGTTGTTGAAAACGTTATTGTGATAAAAGTGAAATCGGGAATTGTGTATACATCATTTATTGGTAAGTTTACACACTAAGTTTATTAGTAAAAAAGTACTTATTGAAGAGAACAAAGATCAATTTTAATTTAGAAGTGAACAACAAGTATAATTTAGTGCGAAAGTACACTGATAACAATTCCAGCTTACAAGCACCTCTCTAATATAATTAGTAAAATACATTTTATTGAATAATATAAGAATTAATGTTCACTGTACAATTTGTTCAATTCTCGTATTTTTAATAAACTCTTTGTTTAGTTCTGTGATAAATGCTACTACTTGAAGAGTTTAGGTATCGTAAACCAAGAATTACATTATAACCTATAATATAAGTAATATCAAATTGCATGTAGCTCAATTTATAAACAACTCGTCAATAAAATATGCAATTCGCAAAGAATTTATATCAATTAGTTCTAAAGCATTTTAGCTTTAGAACTGAGCATATGTATTTATTCGTAATCACATATCAATTCTTATTCTTTACCTTTTTTTTTAATCTTGATCGTATAATATAATCATATCATTAATGAGTATATGCAATTACTGCCATGAATTTTATGCTTTTACTGTAATAGATACAAGACTGGTACCATGGCAGCCAAGGAGGAGGCAAGCGGCACGACGACTGACGCAAAGACTGAAGAAACGCCGGATAATTCAACAACGGAGGACGCACCAACTAGTCTAGAAACCATCCCCGAGGGAAACGTGGCACGAAACGAGCTTCAGACAGCGCCGAAGGACAAATCAAAGAGTATAATCTCAATTTCATTTACATACAATTTTACAAGTGCATGTAACAAAGTATATTTAAGTAGATTTTATATTTAAATTTTACAGTTGATATATTGCTGAAGGCTACTGCCAACGCTCCGATCATGAAGCAGAAGAAGTGGTCGGTCTCTCAAGACAATCCTATTGGACGGATCTCCGAATTCATAAAGAAGTACCTCAAACTGGATCCCAACGAGAGATTGGTGCGTCTAAATATTTATTTCTGATTTCTTTTACCAGTGCAGTGAAGCGAATAGTGAATTCTTGTCTTCCAGTTTCTCTATGTCAATCAGACGTTTGCACCTGCTCCCGATCAGACGGTGAAGAACTTGTACGATTGCTATGGCGCCGACGGAAAGTTGGTCATACATTACTGTAAAAGTCAGGCGTGGGGCTGAGATTCGTTGAAGTTAATTTACCGAAGTTAATTTTTCCTGACAAAAGAACCATATATAAATTTACACGAAACACATTGTGATAATTTTAACTTTTTATTTATAATATACATATAATTCTAGCTTTATATTTATGATATAATTATGATACTGATATTCACTTTATTATTGTTTTGTAGGAAAATCCTTACTGGAATTTGCGTTCGGTACAAAAATGCTCACAGTTTTATTGTATGCATTTTAATATAGTAATATTAGAACCTCGAGTAAAATTAATCAGTCTTACGAAATAATTGTACATTATGTCTTTGATGTAATGGATCTTCTACTGCATGAGTTTGAAGACTCTTTCAGATTTTCCATCGTCCTCGCTTTGCTGGATGATCCGTCGTTCTTAGCGTCCCTGCATCGACATTGGTTTGATGTACTTGCACTTGACTTGGAGCTTGCCGAACTCCGCGATACGCATTTACAAGCAGGCATTCTCTCTTTATTTGGGCGGATTTCTTTTTTAGAATCTTTACATCGATCGGAAGCAGCTGACAGCGGCTTTTGATCACCTGACAAGTGTCATTATTAAATAATCAAATGTGAATTGCAATACCGTGTAAAGTTTATGTTGCCCTGACAAATCTGTTTACTTTATCATACGTTGAAGAATATAACATACTTGTACACGACGAAGTAGATTTTTTGGAGGATCGTACAGTTTGATCCGCCACGACACTTGCATCGTCCTCCGTTTTTCGCGGAGATAATTTATCCACATCCGCGTCGGGCAGGCTACGCGCAGAGTTAGCGGTTCTTCCTGACTGGCCCACGCTCTTGGAATCATTTAAGGCCTCGGACGGACATTTCCAAATCATAATCGTCCCGTCGGCGCTAGCCGTCACTACGTGCTTGCAGTCCGTGCTGAACTTACACGCGGTGATTATCGCGGCGTGTAAAGTAGCAACATGGGTGAGATCCGCGCTGTCATACTTCCAGATCTTGACGGTGCAGTCATTGGATCCGGTAATGAAGAATCGACCGTCCGGACTGATGTCTATACAGTTCATCGTTCCGGCGCTAGAACCCTCGACCTCCCGCACTAGCGAGCCGTCCAGAGTCTCCCAATAAGCGATCTTCCGATCTGTACCGCATGTCAAGATCTGAATACCGTCGGGTGTGAATTGCGCCATCATAAACATTGTGTTTCCCATAAGAATATGTTTCCTAGTGCAGCGTCTGTTACGAAAAGATTTTCGCCTGTTTAAAAAAAACTCACTCCTACAACAATTTAATATTTTACAGACGAAACTCACATTATATCCCAGACAACGCACGTGCCGTCCGTACTCGAGCTGATCAGGTCCTCGTTGTTGCTCGAGATGTGCAAGGACATTATCGGGCCCCGATGTTCTTTCAGTATACTGATCAATCGTGGCACATCAGTTTTTATGTCCCAAATACGTACCTGGAAATCGGATAAGTTCCAGAAAATTTATTGAAGTGTAATGCATAATTAATATAGATGTTAATTTTTCCACAGGAATAGAATGATCTAGTTCAATCGTATAATCGGCGTTAAATGGCATTTTGTAGAACGTGAGATAAATCACCTGGCCATCGCAGCCACCGCTAATCAGCGTATTACTGTCGGTCGTGACAGCGATCGTCGACACGGCTTTTGTATGAGCGTTATGAATGGAAAAATAAAAGTCCCCGTTATGCGGTGAGAACACTCTTATTATGCCGTCGTTCCAAGCTGAAACAATGGCAAAAACATTTAATATTGTTTAAACATGACAATGACATGATAATATTTATAAATACGACTAGCTAAATGTACCAGAAAGCAACATTTGGTCGTCGCGCGCAAATTGTAGACTGGAGCAAATAAAATTCGCTACGGTGATACGAACTTTCTCCTTCTGCTTTTCCAGTTGCCACAGCCTGACATCGTTCTTGCTGCCTGTTGCGAATATCTCCGAATGATTGCTACGATTTATTAGAGTAACATTAATCGATTCGGTCGACCGGCGTAGTTGTGAATTCACTATCTTTACCGTGGGAACGCGATACTGTATATGCAGCTAGTGTGACAGGTGACGAGTAGGCGCATATGAAAATTTGACAGCTGAATTTGATAGATCTCGCACCAGGATGTCCCGGCCACCACGAATTCGTTTTGATGCAAAACCATGGACGTCACTGCGCTGCACACGTTTTCTGCTTGATGCTGATAAAAAGAAGATGACAATTATGATTTCAGTCATCATAAATTCGCGAGTTATTTGTATATCTTCAGCTTTTGTCATTAATTTTCGTTTTCACATTTTGCAATAGCTTTATATCTTTTTCTTCTTTTATTGTTAATCGCGAGGTCATTGTCTGTTCCTTTTTTGCAACATATTTGCCGTGAAGCGACTTGAACGACTCACGGTGAGGATCTGCGGCGTATTAGGAAACTTGGACGGCTTGCGCGTTCGGTTCTCCTTCATGGTTATTATCTGGATCAACTCGATGGTACCGTCGCCAGTACCGACCACCAGTTTCCCATCCTTTAGAAGCAGCAAACTCCTCACTCCGCCTGCGTACAGATCGCCCTCGCCCGTCTTCATTTTCCTCGGGTCGCGCGTTATCTTCGAGTAGCAGCCGATCATCACCGGCAGGCGTGCCGGCTCTCCACATTGCAGATCGTCGCGCAGATTCAATCTGGAAAAGAGAAGACAAGATTGAACAAGAATGAGGACAAGTGACGAATGGTATGAAGATAAAATGTAGGCGATACGGCAATTAAAAGAAAAATATTAATTGAATAGCTGCGAATACACTTTTCCACAGGCGTCTCTATGACCTTGCTGTAATGATATCACCGGAAGAAGTGCCGCAGTAGATGATCTCGTCCCTCTCGTCCACGGCAACGCAGTTCACGAGGCGCTTTAACTTGCCCACTTCCACATCGAGATTATGCATCCGACGCTTCTCCGCCTCGATCCGCCAGATTTTTAACGTCCTGTCGCCCGCGGTAACAAAGCACTCGCCGTGAAGATTCGTCCTTGTTATGTTATTCGCATTGCCGCTCGTATCATTGCTGGCGAATGATCCTGTAGAGGATCTATTCTCAATTAATGTATATTTACAGATTGAATTCACCACGCACAGATCGCGAAAGAACGGGGATGGAGAAATCTCTGCGAAAAACATTCTATGTTTCTCAGATGTATGTACATCCCAATGGAATTTTTCGTGCAGATCTGTACGGAGTATCGATAAGAGAATCGAGGGAAAGATACCACATATAAGAGAACTCTTCCGGACGTCCCAGACGACCACGTTGCCGTCGTCCCTGCCGCCGAGGCTCACGAGGAAGTCGCTGTTGCAGGTGAAGCACAGGTCCACGACGCCGACCTTGTGCGTTTCGTAGCTACCTTTCATCGTGCCCTCCTTGTAATTCCATACGATCACCATGGCCTGCGACACGAAGACGCGCGTGACTGGTAAAACCGATAATCCAATTGAGTCGCTTATGGGAATATTAAAGACGTATATGCACCTTGAAACCGAGATGATTGTTCTGCCCGGAAGCGACGTATTCGCCACACGGAGAAACGCACAACGTCGAGACGTTATTAGTGTGGCCGCTGAGGAATCGTTGCTCGCCGGTTTCGATGTTCCTTATGGCGACCTTGTGACCCATCGGATAGAGGAGATGCTTGTCATCCGGATGCAATCGCAGAGCATTCTTTGTTATGCCTAAAAAAATAAAGGGATATGCAAAATTGTAAATATGTAGTTTGAAAAACTACGAAGTGGTGTACAGTAAATAATATTGCATCTAGATATATGTGTGAAAATTTTAGATGTAAAGCACACGCTTCATAAGATCTCGATTTATCAAAAAATTATTTTCCGATTTCAGAAATTTAAATCTTGTCGTGAAATTTACATTCCTCGGCTTTGTGAACCCGACCGATCAATCATATATTTCTCAATAATTCATTTTGAATTAAATTTATTTAACGATTTAATTAAGCTCGTTAGCTGAAATAAAATAATAAAGGAAGAGATAACAAATGCCGCTTTCTGTACGAACCGTCGAAGGTGATTATTCCGATCGTTTCGAGATCCTGGGGCTCCATGTCGCTTCGTTATTCGTTCATCAACTTTACGATAAATATGTGCGACAGACTGTGCGGAAACAACGTAAACAGCGTCACCGTGGTGATAAATTGATTGTTTACCCACCCTCGTCAACCCCTTGGTAGCAATATATTTCGTATGATTACTTTTATCTTTTCAAAAGAGGTACAAAAAAGCACCAAATACATGCGTCAGAGCGTCAGTTGAATGCAAAGAAATTATTGCACAAAACAATGTTTATTTTAATACATTAAAAAGTTTAAAAATAGTATAATTAAACTTAGAAATGTTATAGAAATGTTACAAACTACGTTATAACTTCAAAATGTTATCGAAATGATTTTGAAATATAAAAATATATATTTAAAAACATTAAAAGCAGATAATATTTATAATTCTAAATATTTCGTGATATGCGTTTAATCATTTCATTCATGATATTGCATATTCTATATATGTTGTATATATTATTCTTATAGATTGTTATGAAATGTAATTTAATCTATAAGATATAGTGTCTGTACGTTCACACAAAGTTTGACAGAAAACGACAAACATCACTACTGACTAATTATTTGTTCTCACAGCTTCAATCCGAGCATGAACAGTTAAAAATGCTGTACAAAGAGGTATTAAAAAAATACGCAGATGCAATAAGTCACGAAAATCCAAAACAGAAAATAAAACATACCATCTATTTAAAAGACAAAATATTAAAGTTACAAGAGGTGTGCGGCATAGTTTCGCTTTTTGCAATTTTGGTGTCTTCTTTGGCTTTTTGCTTTCTTTCTATATTATACATATTAATTGATAATGTACTCAACTAATTTTGAATTGTACATTCGATTTAAATCAAGAAATCAGATAACTACGATAAAAATAAGCCTCGCCGATCTTGATATCTAATGATAGCGCATAAGTATTTTTTTTTATGTATACTTTCGGGATTTTTTGCAGCCTTTGTATAAAATTAAAAAATAAATTGTAAGAGAAATATAGATTGACGGATTACAAAAACGTGTTATTTTTTTAACTCTTAAATGCGCAATTTTTCGTAACATTCTGAGTATTTTTTAAGTAAATAATGACTTTCTGGGCCTTGTCATCCAGAAGAGAAAGAAGGGTCATAGAAGGCCCTTTATATTACAGATGTGCAAAACCGCGCGTTTTCAGTTCGAACTTCATAAGAAAGAGCTACACGGAGCATTGAAAAGTCGCTTTGCATACGTGCAAAACTGCGCGAAGGGTTAATTAATTATCAATCACACGTCGTTTGGAGAACTTCGTGTATCGTCGCGACCGACTCCATGATCTTGACCGCAAAACGATTGAAACATCGTTTTGTTCTGGAAAATGCATCAAATCACAGTTACATTAGGAGGCCTTGCGTGCGTAGCGAAACGAGATAATTAGCATCGATATCGCGATCAGCAACTGGCCGGCGTAAAGACAAGAGTCATGTGAATCAGATTTTATGCGAGAAGCTGAGAGCGTCGCGATGTTAACGCGTTCGCCATGGGATCATACGTGAAGGAAATTTCTCGGACTTGACCATTACGGAGGACGAGTGGTCTCCGTGTCGAAGGCTAAAGTGTCCCGTTGAAGGTGAATGTCTCGTTTCGAACACGCGCTGTTTGCGAAGCCAACAACTTTATTTCCGGTGTACGACAGGAAGGAAGATTTCGCAGGCTCCGCAAAATAAAATGGATTTTATCTCGTGGAGTCGCAATTTGATTTTATATAGGAACGTCCCTTGAGTAATTTCTTCTGATCTACAATGTACCGAATATAGATTCGTAAAGGACATGTATCCCTACCATCCGTTTCTTCTGGACCATCCAGAAGGGAAAGAAGGACTAAAGAAGGACCTTTACAGATGTGTGCCATATTCTGCACTGTCCAAAAATTCAAATAATTTCGTGGAAAATATTCGCGCGGATTGCGCGTCCGGAGTCGGAGAACCGGCGTGCGGTTTCAAAATGCACTGTTGTGACGCGTTTCGTTGAGGTGGAAAAATAAACGATAAATTGGCGCGTCCCCCTCCGTCGTCGATCGAGTACGCGTTATCGTCGCGTGCCGTAGCGTCAACGTGTTCAACGGCTGGAAAAAACAGCCCGGGAATAAGAGACAGCCCCACTAGTATTCCCCTCAAAAACGTCGGCGAGCGTGCACGCGGCCGATTCACAGCCGAGACCGAACTTATCGCCTCCTCACCGCTCTTTACCTTGAGTTTCTCTCTCGTTCCCCACCCTGGATAATGCGCGACGAGCAACACATTCAGATATAAAAGCGAACTTAACGGGGGTGTCGGATCCAGTCGCTCGCGTGTGGACGACTAGGCGGGGACGAGGCAAAAGGAGGTCCATCCTTCGCGGTGCCGGTGGCTTTGCGTCTGGAAATCTCGGAGCTCCTTGCGGCCCTTGAAGACGAAAGGGCAAGGGACCTCGAGCAAGGAGAACCAAGAGGCGCGAGAAGAACCCCCTCCCCCGGATTTCAGCGATTAATGATTAGGAAAGAGAAGACATCGGTGCGTCGCGTCCTCCAAGGATAATAGATCCCCGGCCCCTAGGATGATCTCCGCGTGGAAAGCATGCTGTAAGTACGATCTCGCGTCGCGATCTCGCGGACGAGTCTCTCGCCTCGTGCGTCTCCCTCCGCGAACCTGCCTGTCGATTAAACACGGTCCGGTCAATTTCTTATTCATCTGTCCGCTGATTCCGAGCGGTTTGCTGATCAACGATTCCATCGATCGTGACGATCTTTGCGGTCGCGCACGTGACTATGAATAATTTATTTTATCTACCAGAAGCTAGCTGTCAAGTGCCATCAAAGCCATGCAATCGTAGCGGAAAGAATTGTCGATATTTAGAACGCAAAAAAGAAAAAGAACCAGTCGACAAAATCGTTGAACGTTGTTTTGCAATCTTTCGAGTGAGTGATATGGTTGTGATAACGATCATGAACTGAATAATCATGATGTGAAAAATTCAATCGACGTCGAATAAGTTAACAACTCGTTGGCAATTTGAAGATGGACGCCAACTATACTCGCCGATTCAATTTCTTGGAAGGGAAGATTTTATTATGAGTTTTGATAAAGAGTGAATACAATTACCCAGGTAGAACAGACAGTCACAATAAAATCAAAATGATTTCAAAATAACTGCAAAATGACCTCAAAATCGTCACCTACAATCATTTTGACATCATTTCGATATTCTACTTGAGTAAGTAGCATATTAATATGCTTATATAAAAATGGCGTTGGAAACAAAGTCTATAATTGTACGGTTTGTCAATGTGTTAGAATGCGAAAACAGAATTGCGCGCATCGTAGCTTCCTCGAAACTGTATCTCTTCGACGGGAAACGCGGCTGGCAAGTTTTTAGCGCCTTCATTTTTATTTCGTTTTTATTTGATACAGACATATGATCTTTATTACTGATATACAAGAATGTGATTTCATAGAAAAAAAGTGTCAAATTAAAACTTACATACTCAAATTAACGCGTTTGTTGTTTTGTATATATGCAGCTATCTATAATCTTCTGATAAGAATTTGATAAACTTTTTCTTGATTGAGCTATGTAAAATGAAATGACTTTATTCAAGTAAGTTTTCTTCGTTAAATGCAATATAATTTTACTTCAAGATTTCCACGTTGTAATTAAAGATATTTTCAAATATTCTTTTATTATATAAAAATTTCAATTTTTGCTAATGCAGCTGCCACCGCGATTCGCTTCTGGCTTTCACGTTCGTCCAACCGCGGGAAATGCCTTGACATTAATTGCAACCCGTTCGTTTTCTCGGATCACTTCCTGACGTTCACGCGCAAAAGAATGCGCGAGGGTGCCACGATTCCCGTTAATAATAATTAATCGTTCCCTTTAATTGGATCGGGCCGGAACGTAACGGAAACCGATCGACTACCTAAAAGAATCGGAGGCGCAAAAAGCCATCAAGAAAAGTGAAAAGAAATCCCGGAAGCACCAATCATTGTCTCTATTTGTCGATCGCCGATCGCGACCGATTTTTCTCCACCTTCCTTTCTCTTTCTCTTCTGCGAACCTTGACAGAAACGCGACCGCGTGACGATCGGCTTTTCCGGAAATCGAACTCTTGTATCACATCTCTCCACGAAGATCGCTTTTTCTTTCACATGCCTTCGCGTAGCGAAGGCACGTGAGGCACGAGCGGCGAACGTCCACTCTTATGTGACATCCATGAATCACGCATTCGTTACGAGACTTCGGTGAAACGAACCGCGATTACAGATATCTCGCGAGTCGCTGTATATATTAAGCTGGACAAAAAGTCCTCTTGTCTTTTTTTCCAATAAATCGCTTTTGTCATGCGTAACGTGATTATGTACGCAACGAAGACGAAATAATGAGGCTACCTGAAAGATGGCATAAAATAATCGAAGAGAAACGCTCAGTTTTTTAATAATTCAGTTTTGATTCCAAACGTAAACTTAATTTTGAATATCTTTAAAACAAGAAGACTTCTTATCCAGCCCGATATGAAGAACAGCCTCGTGAAAAATGAATTTCACGGAGGAAGCCTCCGATATTCCTGTTGTATCTTAAAATATAAAATATAAAGATGTAGTATCTTAAAATTCAATTTAATAATAGCTTTTGAGATAATCGATTGTCCAGGAATTTTGCACGACAAATTATAATTATAATTTTGTATGTTATAATTCTGATTACGCTTATATATTTTCGAAGATGATTTGAACTGCACTCGGAGGATCAATATTATATTTTAATTACAATTCACTGAATTATGAGTCAATGACATAACTTTCCGCAAAACTCTTCAATTTCATATTAAATATCCATCATAATATTCAAAATACTTTTTTATTTTGATATTCCATCATAAATATTCAAAATACTTTGAAAGCACAGAGCAATTTAATTACCATAAGTAAATTAAATTAAATGTCAAATGAGTTTCGGCAAACTCACGCGAAAATCCATGCTCTTTCCCTCGCGAGAGAGAAAAATTACGCGATCGATCATCTGCGAAACGTCGATGATTTTTTGCTCGCGTCCTGACACACGATGTAAATTCAACAATAATTTCCATGCAGCGCGTTTACTTGATAGTTACTTGTGTATGTTAATTTTAGAACGTTTAATGATCATCGTTCGCTCGCGAATAGATCTGGGGCTAATTACAGAAATTAAATCGCGAGTGCGTAAGTATTGGCCCACACCACTCCGCCGTGACGGAAACACGGGTGTCTCGTTATCATCCTCTTGACGGATCAATGGTAAGAAAGTGAGAGGAACGGAAGGGGGAGAAAGAATATTATCGGAGAATCTTCGTCTCTCTTCGGGCATGTATAATTTCCGCGAGATAAGATAGCGCCCGGCAATAAGCAATCGGTATTCTTCACAGGTAGAGATGTGCGATTTTCAAAATTGTGTATCGCGATTGCAATCTTCCTTAAGAATCACAATGAATGCAATATACATAGCAGTTTGATTTTTATCTTATATTTTGAATTGTGTGTAATTTTGTATCATAAACACAATTTTGAATCACGTGTCATTTTATATCGCAAACACTATTTTAAATTTTCCCTGTTACATTATGTAATTTTAAATTTTGCGATTTTTTTGAAAATTGTATTATATATTATTTTGATTGTTTTAAATCGTAAAATTTGAATTGCGTTTATGATACAAAATTATGATAAAAATTTTTATGAATTAATAAAGAGGAACAAATTTTAAACAGATGGTTAAACCATATCTAGTGTTAAAAATAAGCGTATTAATCACCAACGTACAATTATAACATTTCAATTATTTTGTTTTATTATTTTTTAATATAAATATTTAATGAATAAATACTGAATAAATACTAAATAATGAATATATTTTTAAATCGCATGCGCGATTTTATATTGCAGGTGCGATTTTATATCTCATGCGATTTTACGATTAAAAATCAAATTGCTTTT